CAGGGTAGGTTAGTCAATGTCACTGCTTCCAATGGAATTCAAGCTCAGGCAAACATTTTAAGAAACAATTTTTAACATGTACATGTACTGTACAATAGTATTTATCAGTATCAAAATATGTAACATACTGACTAATGACAAATACACTACCTGATTAAATTGCTTTGAATCACCAGGAAATATTGATTCTATAGAATGTCTTTTGCACATACATTAATTTTGTATTTGATAATATTTATCAAGAACATAATTATGTCAACTTATTTGTACCATTATAATAGTTACATTACATCATATTGTATCATCACAGGAACTGATAATTACAGCTAGTAAAGTCTGATGTTCCATTAATTATCCTTTCCTCATGTATAATAGTTGGTAGTTTTTTTGTTTTTTGTTCTTTATTATTGTTTTTTTAGCTGGAATTTTTAAATTGGACTTTACTGCATATTGATAAAATTTCAAATTTCTGTGGTACCGTTCATAATAACAAATTTTGAGAAACTTTGAACTGTAGTGTATAACTTATACACATGTACTAGCTTTAAATGTTGCTTTTTTTCACTTTTTTGCACTCTATTAACTATATCTATAAATATTTCAAAACATAAATTTGACATTAATTATTATGAAGTATTATGAAGTCATTTCATTACATGCCATATCAAAACAGAAAAGGTGCGGTTATATTATCTAGAGGTCTATTTTCAGTTTGCTATTTAATATCACTATTCAATTTATTTACAACTTCAGTATATCCCTTTGAATATATGCACCCAAATATAAAGGTGGGCTTTTAAGTTTGAAAGAAAGTTGCATAATTAATTGAAAAGAAGCTTAGATTTCAGAATAAATGCATGTGAATTTGCGGCCTAATAAACATAACCAAAATTAAAATGTTACATAATTTTCAATCTGCAATGTAATATACTCCTTTTTCAATAAGCTTAAAAAATAGTAGATGCCCATTTTTGATCTTATCTTTCTAACTCTAAAAGCGTCTTTCATATAAATTCAAGGGTGGACTAATTACTTTTAAAAATTCACAGTCCAAACTTTGTTGTCAGTTTAATAAAAAGATCCAATCTTGGTAAAATATTTGGATGACTTCTTTAAGATTGTAAACATTGATAATGATTTAACCAACCAACAGGAAAATTATCCTTTTATATCGGCAGTCACTGATCAAACAATATTGTCAGAACTTTTTACAGGACTATAAGATTAAAATCTGACCAAAGAAAGCAAAAAAACATTTTCTCAGTTTAGTTAAAATAATTTCAAAGTTGTAATCAAAGCAGGCAGGGTTTTTTTTTGTCTTGGCTGGTTTACAGTTAAATTTACAGTGAAAAGAAGAGAAGAAAAAAATATGAAAACCTACTTAAGTGCTGCTATTTTTTTAACAACAGACTTGCCTTGGTTTGAGTTTAAAACATTTCAAGGTCTGTATCAATTTTAATACTAAAAATCAAGCAACAAGGAAAAAATTTTCTAAGATCAGACTCAGATCTAATCAGCTCAGACTGTACACTCTGTAGATTTGAGACCATGAACTCGGAAAAAAAGTTTTATGGCAAGGAGGCCAGCAAAGTCTTGAGCAAGTATGCATAGATGTGTCTGTCTGTAGCTTAAAATGACAGGATGTGTAGGCGGGCATGGCTCTTTGTAATGGTGGCATAGACTATTACTGCATGTTATCACTGCAATAAAGATGGCCTTTTCTCTCTCTGTATTTCTTTTTCACTTTGGCTACTATCTCAAATTAAGCAGATGATCATAAAAATGAGAAAGTGTACTGTATGTTGAGAAAGATGTAAAGATACCTAGATTGTGCATGCATGTCTCCCTATGGGGATCCTAATAAAAACAGTCAGAAAGTTAATACTGATACCAGTATTGTCAATATATCACATAAATGATGGGTAAAACAAGATAGCAAAATTGACTTTAAGCCAGAGGTTATTTCCCAGGTGTGCTGTTTCCTTTTAGGAGAACTTGTACTAACAAGAGCCATCCTATCTTATTAGGGGGAAAAAAATAACCAACTTAAAAAATTACTGCATAAAATAAACCCCAATTTTTAATCCATTAATACACTTCCGTCCATGTTTTTTTTTTTTGATTTACATCTTAAATAACCTTCAAGGCATGTTTGCACGCTTTCTCTAATTTACTGCATTATTTTCCACGATTTAAATTGTAAATTTTCAGCAATTTTCTCCAAAATTTCACATTTGCATGTAAAATCAACAAAAAATATGTTGTTTTTCATTAGTTTGATAAGGCAAATTAACTGTGAAACCTGCAATTAAAATGCAAAGTGGTACGATTTATTGTCCCTAAATTTGTGAAAAATGGCTATTTTAAATGTAGATTGTGCATGTTGCCCCTAACATTTATTTAAATTACTATGCTTGTTCTGTAATTCAGGAACACCTATTAGGGGAACATTTATCTGATTTATGCTTGTAATTAATGTAACTTATATTTATCTATTCAAATTGTTGAATTTTCCATTACACCTATACCGGTATATGTATCACCTTCCAAAGATGGTCCCTAGTAATTTACAACAGCTCCAGGCATGTGAGATCTCATCAGTGAAACATATGAGCCACGTCACGACAAAACCAACGTAATGGGTTTGCGACCAGCATGGATCCTGACCAGCCTGCGCATCCGCACAGTCTGATCAGGATCCATGCTGTTCGCTTACAAACCCTATAACAAGTAAAGAAACTGATAGCGAACAGCATGGATCCTGATCAGACTGCGCGGATGCGCAGGCTGGTCTGGATCCATGCTGGTTGCAAACGCATTACATTGGTTTTGTCATTACGCGGCTCATATTTTCTTGTACGATGTCCTTTGCATGAATGTTCTTATCGCTGCTTAAATGGAATGCCACTATACTTCATATTATGACAATTCTGACTTTGAGTAGACATTTTCTTCCATATTTCTTTAATTCCTTAACTTTTAATGCCTACAAATATTACCCATGCGACCAGTGCAGACTAAAATTAGCTGGGGCATTGCTGCTTTCTGATTATGGTCTGTCCTGTTTAGTCAGTATATATGCATCTTATTTTCCCCAACAATTATGAATGGTTAAGTCCATAATAAAAGATGGTCAAGTCTATTTAAGACATGTAACATGGTAAGGGTTATGATATTTAACATTGTAACAAAAGGTGCCAGACTACCTGAATAATTTTCAATTAGTTTCTCAAATTGCTTAAACAAAATATCCAGTGTATCAAAGTTTATACTAGATGAGAATTTAAGCTGTATATCTCAAATATTATGTGACCTAAAATGAATTAAAATATGCCATTAACACAATAAAGTTAAAATAATCTCTATTGTCACATTCTTGTAACAAAATCAATTATTTTAAAAATGTTGAATTTCATTGTATAAGACTGTATAAGAGACTGTCAAACTTTTAGACATTGTCTTAATGAAAAATGTCACAGAATTTAACAATTTCAGACAACTTAAATATAAATTAAATGTAGATTAAAGTGTATTAATTCTTCTGTGACATTTGTTTGATTAATCAACAATAAGAATTTAGTGAAGGAGATTTTCATCAGGTAGCATACAGTCATTTCTCTTTTAAAGGTTATAAAGCAATATCCAATGAAGTAGATTTTATAAAATTTATAAATGGTAAAATCATGTTCAACTCTCAAATGAGATGTACCATAGACGGTCCTTGTTGTTGAAAACACATGAACATTGGACGGATTGAGATTTAATGTTCCAGAATTTTTAAGAATTATGCTGCTATTTTAAGTATAAAGATTTAAACAGTTTAGTAATGATTTGTTCATGGGCCATTCTCTCTTAAGGAAATATACAAACACTTAGATTAATTTGAAAAAGTAGAACCTATAAAATTATAGAAGTACAAAATTCATAAAGGGAGAGCAAAATTACCAAACGTGCTTACTGCATTTTATTAAGTTTTTAACCTAAAACTTGTTTGTCTCACTTTTCGTGAAATATAATATCCATACAGATCTATATAAAGAAAGAAAGAAATAGGCAACAGAATAGACAAAAGAACAAAAAAAATCACATTTTTTTCAATACATACAGTATGGATAAAATAACAAGATGAAAACAAATTTTAGGTCAACTCAATGGGACTAGCACTTTTAGAGTTCCACAAGACAGCCTTCAGTATCAACTTGTTAACACCTTTTTAGAACAACTTCTCAACAATATCATCTTCAAAACTAATTTCAACAACATGAATACATAATGTTATCAGTTACATTTCAGCAATTTGCTTTTCATGTAGATGAAAATGATGCATCTGAAAAGGGAGATAAACTTTCCTTTGTGTGAACAAACTATAATGAGCTTAAAGCCAACGGAATAAAAGGTAAGTCGAAAATAATTGCTCGACAAATTCCTGTCATTACAAACGATAGATGTGCATCTACTGCATGAGAAAAAACACCTGCAATAATCTGAGTACGTGCATATTCGCTGCATTCCTTCGCTAGTACATTCCTAATATTTTACATTTGATTAAATTTGCATCTAATTATACCAATAGATAACTAACAAAAGATAAAACCATCTAAATTCATATCAGCAGTCGTGATTAACGTTAGAGTGTTCGTTTAAATGAACACGGCGATTTGATGTAGTCAGTACGGTAAGTGAAAGCTTGCACGTCGGTAAACAAAGATAAAAGGACACGAAGATAAAGTACGAGGACAAGCTCTGGATTTATCTCAACACAAATATTAAGTAAATTTAGTGCGCAAATTGATCAATATTTGATCCTAAAATGTTAAATAAATGCTTTCAATGTACTTAAATTCTTAGACAATGTTATAAAGTTTATCATCGTTGAAGCAGGAATGACTGCAACATTAAGTGACTTAGTGAGTGCAGTTGATTATTATTTTGAATTTCATTGATACCAATATAATACCACTCCAGATAGCTACATTTATGTAATAATATAGATCCCTTACCTTGACATGTTCCCTGTTCATCTCCGGTAACCAAGTCCCCTGGTTTTGCGTTTATAACGCACTGTAGTCCTTTGGCGCAGACTCCACCTCGCCTGCTTCGGCCTCCGCCACAACTCTCTCCCTTCCCACGGGCGCACACCATACAGCACCCGCATGGGTCCAGTACTTCTCCATAACTACAATTTACTGGGTTGTCACATGTTAATTGGTTACACGTGCACAAGTCATGCGCTCGTGCTAAAGAAACCGGCAATATATGTGCGCTTAAATATAAAAAGAAAATGAAGCGGAGAGATCGCGGAGCTTGGAGTTGATTTAAAAAATACATTCCGTCATGTAATAAGGTATTGCCCAAAAATAAAGTACATCTTTCCAACAAAATCCACAATATTTGACACAATCGTAGTACTTCCTTCTTTAATACCGTTCTTGTCTATCACACTTTGTAAATAGATGGCAGAAAACGCGCGAGCAAGCACTTTTAATGTTGCGTACGCAGGTAAAAGTAAACAGAAGCGTTAAACCAATCAAATGCCGATGGGCGGCGCTTCGTATGGGAAAGTTTATTTTCGCTTCATGATTTTATTAAACTACTTAATTCACTATATTATTTCTTTACCCGTTGTCCTTTTATCCACCATAAAGCAATGCTAAAAGGGCATTTATCTTAAAGATATCGATGTCAAATGAAGAGAAAATCCACAGTCCAAGTTTTCATTCATAAACACACATTCATTGATAAAAGCGGTAAGGGATTTGAAACGTGAACGTAAGGCTAACTTCGCTTATAAATTAATAAGATTTTATAAACATACCAGAATAGCTACGGAATTTCTATATTTTTATTATAATACACGATGCAGAACCTTATCATATCTGGTTTGACACGCTTCAGATTTAGCTTCATCAACATCGAGTTTCTAAACATCATATTTGAATATATTATAAAGGACGAGCTCGGTAATGTTTTAAGTATTTGACATACCAAATTGCAAATAAAAAAAAAATTTACATTTTATACATTTGGAACTTTTTTTTACTTGTTGACAACAGAATCTTGCTTATTTTCGTGATAAATCGTCATGGAATTCATTGAGAACATCAATAAAATACCAAAACATAATGTACATAAGAAATTCAACATTAACAGGCGAGCAAAAAATTCGGGTCTTAAAGGGAGAGTAATCAACCTGCCATTGTCTAGTTATGATAGCAAAAGTTATATGTAATTTCAAACTGTTTCATAAAGTATTTAGTTTCATGAATAACAACGATTTGCAAGTGAAAACATGTATACCCAATATATATTTGCTTGATTCTTAGTCGATTTTAGTGCCAAGTTGTCACGATTAGAAGATATTGTAAATTTCCTTGATACTTTATTTGTAAAATTAAAGCTGTAACAAACACCACTTCCTAAACACACAAAATTACAGTCAATAATATTGCGTTTTAAAAATATATTTCGTTTTATTTTATTGCAGAACAGGCAAAACATGTGTCAGTAATTTTAATTTGTAATTACCTCCATTCATTTTCATAAACATAAAATTCTACAAGATCTATGATACCCATGCTCTCTGTAACCGTTTTTCTTATTTGCGTATTTCTTTATTTGTTATTTTAATCATAAGTTAAATCATATATGGTCATAGTGCAGTGAGGAAAATAGTATGTGAGGTATGTAGAATAACAACTAAATGCAACGTCAGATCACCGAGGATGCACGAGTATCCACATACTGCCAGTTTTCAATCACAACCACTTTTCAATCATCCCTAGAAATTCTTTATTTTTGACCTTATTTGTCATGTAACCAAACTGTAAGCACATCTTGTATTCACCTTGACTACATTTATCAACAGCAATGTCAATTATGGCGATAAAAAATACCAGTATTTTAGTTGAAAATATGTAAAATGCGTGTTTTCCATTAATCCTTTATTTAGCCAGTTACAAATCGCAATAATTTTCTAAAAATAATTGATTTACAGACTCAGTTTTTTGTCAGTCTGCAGAAATGGATATTAAGTTGGACAACTATTTCAATATCATGAAGTCATAATGTATACTGCACTTCAAAAGCTATAATCTTACTGTACATATTTTACCATACAATTCTTAATTGGAAGGTAATACGTCATTAAAATAACAGTCACTTAACCAAGATTGAAAAATGGCATTATAATTAGGTTAAAATTGTTTATCACCATTTATCTGAAGTTGAGTTTGTCAACATTTTTCCAAAATACTTTACTGATTATATTTTAACATTGTATGACAATTTTTATGTGGTACAGTTTATATTTTGTTAACTGATTGAAAAGTGGTTGTGAAATTTTGAAGAACAGGAAAATGGGTCTGTAATGATTTGTCATTGATTCATGATAATAATCCAAGTAAAATTTTAAAAAGTTGTTGCATTTATTAGCTGAAATAATAATATTTGCAGAATTGTAAGAGAAATATTTTTTTTATACTTTCACTGTCAGTTATTGTAGAAATTTCTGTTAGCTGATCGGAAAGTGGCAGTACGGGGATACTTTATTTAAGTCCGCTGGAGAACAACGAAAGACAAATCGTACCGATGTCACGATAGTAAGTAAAAGGTTGTCTGCCTTATAGACGTCTGAATCACGGCTTTTCTCGATCTTAGAGTGTCAGTAGGATTTAAAATTACCCCCTTTCCCTACCAATTTCTAAGACAGCCGGCCATGAAAACTTAATCAAAACAAAAATAATAATAAATATTATAACACCGATTTTGTCAAAACAGTAAAAAACTAAATAGTAACAAATGACTTACTACATTTGATGTTTGAATAAGACATTTTATGTACTTATATTTTCATGTATTATGTATACTGATGTATAAAATTTTTATACAGTTTTGCTTTATGTTATAATGAGTACAGATATTATGAAACACCCTGTAAAATACTTTTGTTGCTTTTTCCTTTCTTCCTACACTATTCTATTAAAAGCCTTAACGGAAACATGCTTACACATTTTTCTGGTAATCAATGACATTTCCATATCATCAAAGTCAAATCTGACCAGTTCCAGTGTGTACATAAGAAGTAATTTGAGACGAGAGTGTCGTCTGGACCATTTATAATCAGGATCAGATTCTCGACCTTCATAGGAATAGCTTTTCCAATCAATCCTATAGAAAATGGGCTTAGGGTGATCCTCATAGGTGAGTGATTATACTTTCGAAAGATGACATCGTCGGCATTTACCTCCAAATTAAGACTGGCACTAAGCTTACTGTCGCCTCCATTCAATGTCCGTGAGAGATCATACTATAGCCTAAAACCAATATCGTCTTGCAATAAACCAAATTCTTGGACATAATTTTAGATGCATAATCTCACAAATTAAATTTCCCACAAGAGGCACTAACATTATTGGATTTTTTTTTCTACAATGAGACCAACCTTAGTTTCTAGATGTAGACATGTGCCAGGCGTAAGTGACCACGACAAAGTCATTGTTTAAGTCCATATCAAGACCATCAGGACAAAGGCTGCCGTGAGTGGCGTGACAGAAGATTTATATGTAGACTATGTCTAAATCCCTAAATCCAACTCGCTTTGATTGAGTGTTCATGAGAGATAATGGCAAAGTGAAACATCTCCCATGCCCCCCTAGCACCGACTTAAGGGTTGCATCCTTAAATAAAGCCTGTCATGTCTCACTTCGTTTGCAGATTCATAGAAGAAAAAGGGTGGTACCAGTTCACGGAAGAGTGCTTCCAAGTCATGAATATAAAGGTCCATCAAAGTGTTCTTCTACACGTCACAATCAACCTTGGATTATCAAGAACATTAAACGTTCAAGGAGGAAGAAAAGAGCTTACCGCAAAACCAAGCTAACTGGTGCAAACTAAACAAAGTACAAGCGTCTACAAAGAGACTCAGCATGAGTACAAAAATCCTTCAACACCTACATCAAGGACATTGTCACGGAAGACAATCCATAAAAACTGTAACAGTACTGTCCCCATAGAGATATTCAAGATGGATAACATACAATGCAGACTTAAGAAATCTCCAGAATAACTCCCCCATCCTGAAGAAGCAATTCACTAGCGTGCTCACAGAAGAGAACGAGTCACACAATTCCACCAATGAACACATCTCCGTGCATTGATTACTTCACCAATGACACTCCCGGTGTAGAGAAATTCATAAAAGGCATAGCCCCCCAAACATACACAAAGTAGATGGTCCTGTCAACGACTATGCCACAAAAATCGTTCCATGTCTGACCCTCATATTATCAAAATCACTTCAACAAGCAAGAAACAGACCAACGTAATACCACATTGCAAGAAACAGGACATCGGCTACAAAATAAAGACAAATACTAACATTGGTCTGCTGCACATTCATGGAACATATCATTCATAGTTAGGTCATGTAAAGACCATCTTCCATCAGATTCACAGTCGGCACTCTTACGAGACTCTGTTGATCATAACCATACAGGACATCGATGCAGTACTTAAAGACGCTGATATCAGATCGGCACTATCTATGTATTGGCTGGACTTAAGCACAGCATTCGTTAAGGTCCCACATAACCGCTTACTACACAAATTGCCCCTCGATTATTTAACTATTTAATTTGAAAGAGAGCTTCCCAAGTAACAGAAGTCAGAGAGCCACATCTCAGAGCCAGCTGCTGTCGCTTCTGAAGCTTCACTGGGAAGTGTGCTTGGTCCTCTGCGCTTCCTCCTGTACATCAATGACATACCAGTACAGGTCCGTTCTAGCTAGCGCCTCTTTGCTGATGACTCCTTGCTGATGACTCCATCATGTTCTTAAAGAGTGCATTTTTACATAGGGACCGAGAAAAATTATAGCAATGACAAAGGGAATGGTAAAGAGAGTTTAACGAAATAGCCTGGCCTTCGTACGCATATATCTAGCCAGCTGTCCACCAATGTTACAACTCAGTGGTAACATCTATAGTAGATTATGCTTTACTTGTGTGGGACCCACATACAGCAGGCAACTTTTCAGGTTGCAACAATGTCGAAGCAGTCAAGCGACGAGCAACAAGATTTATGTGGTGGCTACTACCACCAGCACCAGTCCTTCATTAGCCCTCACTCCAACATAGACGTTAGAATGCTAGTCACGGTCGTCTTTATTATTCACCACAATTTTGTAGATATCCCATTAACATTCCTGCGCACTACTGCATTAACAACAAGAGGTTATCCACTGCAGTTTTTGTTAACTTACACACGAAAGGACAACTACAAAGCAAGTCTTTTTTTCGTCGGAACCAGATGCCAGAAACATAAATGTACATGTAAATGTATCTTTACGGCTCCCACCTGTCATACTAAATAAATATTCAAAATCAAATTCAAAATGACCTTTGTTATTACTCCTATTAAGACATCATATGCGGATAACCTTGATGTTATTATGTCAAGAGTTCCTATTTTCACAAATGCTGTAAAAATACTTTTAATGCATGCTGTCTTTTCCATCATAACATATTAGGTAAAACATGTATGCGTTACAATGCTGAAAATAGTGTTTCCACACATGAACTAACTGTCAATTAAATTTATAATATTAGAGTAGTAATACAAGAAAGCAATTCAAACATCAACCTTTATTTCACAACAACAAAACATAATGCTTTATATTTTTGTTAAAAAGACATTCATGACATTCTAATAGATTGTAAAGTGACTAAACAAACATCATGATTAACCTTTCATAATACAATTTACAGAACATTATGTAATATAGTTTTATGATTTTTATATTCTCTTGATTGAAAATTTGTCATTACATTAATCAAAACATTTGCTTATAAATACACCATAAAAGATGAAAAGGTACCCACCTGAAACTACATGTATGTTAATTCCAGTTAGGTAACAATAGTTTTTCTTTTAACAATTACATAGTCATAATTATATTCCTCAGCTTCGTAATATTAAGTATACCATAAACATAATCGCATTTGGAAACTTGTATAGACAACCAGGGTCTTTCAAATAGAAAGACTCTGAGACAACTCTCATTTTTAGAGAAAAGTGCAACGAATACAGATATTACTCAACTCCAGAAGAAACACAAGTGTCTTTAACATGCAAGGTGTATTTAATGTTATAAATATGTTATTTATACTTTCATACATTAAATAAATTATAAACCAATCAAAAGAAAGCCTGCTTTCTTTATTTAATCCTTTAAAATGACTTTGAAACTACTAACACTAATAAAATTAATAATACCCTATACAGTCCTAAAAATCAATTAATAATAACAAATGTAATTAATAGGTCTTAAAAACTATATAGTATATGAGTAGTAAAGTTCTAATAACACTAACACTAAACATTTGATAACATTAACAAGAACAACATCGTAACTTATATAATTGTTTTGTAGAACTTTAACTTCAAATGTTGATTGCAATAAAGCATACATATTTTTAGAGCAAAACATGTGATAAATGTAATGTAAACATGAAACTTACAAGAAGCATTGTAAAAATGTAAACAAAAAATAATTCGAGACAATTATCAAAATCAAATGAACATTTCTAAACATTTTACAATTCATGATAAACTTAACTGATCGTTTTATCTTTTCAACAAATAAATAATTGTTTAATTCTGTCTAAAAGTGTATAATGCATAATATAATGGCCATCACTAAACAGATTGACAAAATGACAACATTAATACATAACATGTACTATAAATCACATCATCACATGGTTATAGATTGCACATACATAACATGTACTATAAATCACATGGTTATAGATTGCACATTTCAAAACTAATCTACCAAAAAATATAAACAAAATTTATAACAAAACAAGAGGGCCATGATGGCCCTGAGGTCGCTCACCTGTATATAGCCCCCCCCCCCCGGGGCCAATTTTTACCCAAGGGCTTTTATTTGTTTATTTGAACAGACTTGGTAGACACCCATAAGAAGATGTTTCATGCTAAACATCTAAGTTCTAGCTCATTGGGTTTTTTAAAAGAAGATTTTTTAAGTTTTTACTATACACATATAGTTAAAAACAATGACCCCCGGGCTTTTATTTGAACAAACTTTGTAGAAATTTACTAAAAGATGTTTCATGCTTAATATCTAAACTCTAGCTATATGGGTTTTTTTCAAAGAAGATTTTTAAGTTTTTGCTATACACAAAAAAGGAAAATCAATGACCACCGGGCAGGGCCAATTTTGACCCCGGGGCTTTTATTTGAACAAACTTTGTAGACACTGATTAGAAGATGTTTCATGCTTAATATATTAACTCTAGCTATATGGGTTTTTTCAAAAAAGATTTTTAAGTTTTTGCCATACACATATAAGGAAAATCAATGACCCCCGGGGTGGGGCCAATTTTGACCCCAGGGCTTTTATTTGAACAAATTTGGTAGACACCCATTAGAACATGCTTCATGCTAAATATCTTAGCTCTAGCTCTTTGGGTTCTTTAAAAGAAGTTTTTTTAAAGTTTTTACTATATGCATATAGGGAAAATCAATGACCCCTGGGGCGGGGCCAATTTTGACCCCAGGGCTTTTATTTGAACAAACTTGGTAGACACTCACTAGAAGATGTTTAATGCCAAATATCTTAGCTCTAGCTCTTTGGGTTCTTTAAGAGAAGATTTTTTTAAGTTTTTACTATATGCATATAGGGAAAATCAATGACCCCCTGGGGCGGGGCCAATTTTGACCCCAGGGCTTTTATTTGAACAAACTCGGTAGACACTCACTAGAAGATGTTTAATGCCAAATATCTTAGCTCTAGCTCTTTAGGTTCTTTAAAAGAAGATTTTTTAAGTTTTTACTATATGCATATAGGGAAAATCTATGACCCCCTGGGGCGGGGCCAATTTTGACCCCAGGGCTTTTATTTGAACAAACTTGGTAGACACTCACTAGAAGATGTTTCATGCTAAATATCTTAGCTCTAGCTCTTTGGGTTCTTTAAAAGAAGATTTTTTAAGTTTTTACTATATGCATATAGGGAAAATCAATGACCCCCTGGGGCGGGACCAATTTTGACCCCAGGGCTTTTATTTGAACAAACTTGGTAGACACTCACTAGAAGATGTTTCATGCCAAATATCTAAGCGCTAGCTCTTAGGGTTGTTTAAAAGAAGATATTTAAAGATTTTTCTTTCGGTTGCCATGGCAACCAGAGTTCTGCACGGAATTAAATTCTTTGAACAATTTTTAAAGGTGACCACCAAAGGAACATTCCTGTGAAGTTTGGATGAAATTGACTCAGTGGTTTATGAGGAGATGTCATTTAATGCAAAAGTTTACGGACGGACGGACGACGGACGGACGGACGCCGGACGAAAAGCGATCACAAAAGCTCACCCTGTCACTTTGTGACAGGTGAGCTAAAAAAAAGAAAAGAACTTATGCATTTGCAAAACAAAACCAAAAGTCTCCTGTTCATAAATTTATCAAATCAATTTGAACAGGGATTGTGTTTTAAAATTGTTTATTTTTTACAAGAAACAACATCGAACGGCATTTAATCTTAAAACTATAATACTTTTATAACTCTTTTCAGAAAAAAAGAATGATTGAGATGGAAATAACTAAAACATAAATGAATGCATATATTTGTATTTATGCAATCTTCCCTCAGACATTCATTTGGTAAATGAAAGCTATTTACACATTCAAATAATATTTTGAAAAAAAAAGAAAATGAGATTCAACAGGTCTCACAATTTTGACATCTAATACTGTTTGACAGTCATGTATATAATTAGTTCCAGTCTTGATAAATATAATTTTAGTAAACTTACTGAAAAATGGATATACTTTAAATTTTTGATTACCCCGATTGTGAATATAATAATCAGTTATAACTTGAATTTTTCTACCATTCATTTTTCTGGGTAATACATGTAAGTGACAACCCTCTTTCTTTATCCCATTATAAGTACCTTTATAAATAAATAAAAACCCATGGTGTCATTTTATACAATTATATGAGCTACTAAACTCTACATACTATTATATACATGTACATTTTGATTAAACACATCTCAGTCAAATACAGTTCAACTCCTTAAATATTACATAGACGTAGTGTCATTGTTACAACCTAGAAACCTATTTACAAGACTGAACTAAATTAAATCATATATAAGCCACAGTTCTGCTTTTGACAAAGAAGAAAATCCAGTCATAAATCATAGTCATATATTAAACTGTTGCAGCTATATCATCTACATGTTTCTGCTTCACACTGTGTAGAACTGTGTAGCAGCAGACGACTGTACTTCAATCTGACCTAGTTTGAACTGAATACGTTTCAGCCATGTTAGAAGAATATTTGAGTTGATACACGTCTGTTCAGTTGATGGTGACGGTGGTTGCCAGTTCTGAACTGCCTGCAGACGTACTTGTAGATGACCTGGTAGCTGCAATAGTAAAACAACCAGAATAAGATGGTGACACACTTTATGTTGTTTCTCATTTTACAGATTTATAGATGGGGGTAAGCAAGCTGTATAAATGGAATCCTTATACAGAGGTGATGAGATTAGCCCAAACTGAAGGTGAAATTGTCTCTGGGTTTCTAATCAATAATGGTGAATTACTGATTTACACAGGCATGAAGTAGTCATCTGGCATGACTTAAAGAACCATGTGTAGGTCCCAAAAAATGGGGTTTTGCATGATTAAAAAAGTAAAAGACTTAGGTTAGGCAAATACATTTGTATTAAACACTGGTAATGTTAAATGTAAAAAAAATATTTTCAAAAATGTCAAAATTAACTTTTGTATCCAAAATTTATTCCATTTTAATTGCATATCTTACACTCATATTCAATACTAAGCATGAAACTAAAAGAAGACAAAACTAAACTAAAACTAAATGGAAATACATAAAACAACAATTAAATGAAATTTAATACAATCGTGAAAGCATGACTGTTGACTATGTCCAAGAACAGCATTGCAAAATTCATGAATGAAGTTCCTAATGTAAACCTAGAAAGACAGCAGTTAAAACTTAAAGGTTAAAAAAGTGCAAAGACAATGTGTTTCAGTTTCATATAAACAAAACATACCTGTCCATGATAAGCATACAGTATAGATGTCCACATTGGAAACAGCTGAAAATACCATATACAATCTTAATTAAATCATATGACAAACCTTAGCAACATTAGTGTAAAAATACTATGTTAACATATCAATACATCAAAATTTATTTTAATTTAAATTAAGTTGTGTCAAAAGTTAATGTCAAAGTTAATTCTGCATGTAGAGTATACATGTATTTATGAGATATTGAAAATATGGAGTACATACCTTAGCCAGAACACTGGAGTTACACTCCTGAAGAGCTTCCATTAAACTGAGGAAATGAAGATTCACCATTTCAGCCAACTAAAACAATAGGAAACAACACAATAATAATTAACAGTACTAAATCAGTAGTGAGAGACAAATGAGTTGCGTCATGACAAAACCAACATAGTGCGTTTGCGACCAGCATGGATGCAAACCAACTCTATTACAAGTAGAGAAACTGATAGCAAACAGCATGGATCATGATCAGACAGTGCGGATGCGCAGGCTGGTCTGGATCCATGCTGGTCGCAAGCGCACTATGTTGGTTTTGTCGTGACGCGACTCAAATGACTATTAAACTCAACATCCGAAATTGTCATAGAGATATGATGCCTTACCCACAGATCAAACAGGGACCCCTGCATTACAAATCCAATGCTCTCCCTATTGAGGTTAGTGGGTTACGGTAACTTTTTTCTTAATAAAACGTTGATAACGTTGATAACAATGTTAAAAAAAATAACCTTCCACCAATTTAAGAACAAAAACTTCCCTTGGTGGCCTACTAGACTCATAATTAATGTTTAAAAAGAGAAAAATCTATCAGACTAACTCTGATTGACTAAGCATTCAAAACTGACATTGGGATTTTAATTATGAGATGCTATAAAATACTTAAATATCAATTAAAAATAAAATACATGTAATTTGACCACAAAATTTAACTAGAACTATCACTAAATGTGATTAATACCCCCACAAGTCTGCTTCGGCAATGAGGATGTTACTAGTAACAGAATACCTTGTAAAAGAATTGAAACATAGAGTTATGGTTGTGGGCAATTAAAGATAATTGTGGTTCATGTATGTTGCATTTCCTTTCAATGTGGTTGGCCATTGATGAAGTTTAATTGAATTACTCTGTAATAAGTCCAGAAAGACAAAGAAAAAGAACAAAGGGCAATAACTCTATAAATACTGAAGATAGAGTTATAGTTCTTGTGCACTGCACTTCCTCTTATTGTGCTTGACCATTGTATGAAGTTGTTTTGGATTCCAACCAGTACGTTTTAAGTTATGCTCTGGACAAGGAAAAGTATCAAAGGGCAGTAACTCTGTATTTTGTCAAAATGGAGTTATGGCTCTTGTGCACTGCACTTCCTTTGAATGTCCTTGACAACTGTATGAAGTTGTACTGAATTCCAAACAGTAGTTTTCAAGTTATGCTCTGGACAAGGAAAAGTAACAAAGGGCAATAACTCTGTAATTAGTCAAGATGAAGTTATGGTTCTTGTGCACTGCACTTCCCCTTATTGTGCTTGACCATTGAATGAAGTTGTTTTGAATTCCAACCAGTAGTTTTCAAGTCATGCTCTGGACAAGGAAAAGTAACAAAGGGCAGTAACACTGTAATTAGTCAAGATGGAGTTATGGTTCTTATGCACTGCACTTCCTCTCAATGTGCTTGACCATTGTATGAAGTTATAATGAATTCCAACAATAAGTTTTCCAGTTATGGTCCGGACAAAAGAAAGCAATGGAAAAGTAACAAAGGGCAATAACTCTGTAATTAGTCAAGATGGAGTTATGGTTCTTGTGCACTGCACTTCCCCTTATTGTGCTTGACCATTGTATGAAGTTGTTTTGAATTCCAACCAGTAGTTTTAAAGTCATGCTCTGGACAAGGAAAAGAAACAAAGGGCAGTAACTCTGTAATAAGTCAAAATGGAGTTATGGTTCTTGTGCACTGCACTTCCTCTCAATGTGCTGGACCATTGTATGAAGTTATAATGAATTCCAACAATTAGTCTTCAAGTTTTGGTCCGGACAAAATAAAGCAATGGAAAAGTAATAAAGGGCAATAACTCTGTAATTACTTTAGATAGAGTTATGGTTCTTATGCACTGCACTTCCTCTCAATGTGCTTGACCATTGTATGTAGTTATATTGAATTCCAACCATTAGTCTTCAAGTTATGGTCCGGACAAAAAAAAAGAAGGCAATGGAAAAGCAACAAAGGGCAATAACTCTGTAATTACTTTAGATAGAGTTATGGTTCTTGTGCACTGCACTTCCCCTTATTGTGTTTGACAATTGTATGAAGTTGTTTTGAATTCCAACCAGTAGTTTTCAAGTTATGCCACGGACAAGGAAAAGTAACAAAGGGCAATAACTCTGTAATTAGTCAAGATAGAGTTATGTTTCTTACGCACTGCACTTCCTCTCAATGTGCTTGACCATTGTATGTAGTTATATTGAATTCCAACCATTAGTCTTCAAGTTATGCTCCGGACAAGGAAAATGCAACGGACAAAAAAAAAGCAATGGAAAAGCAACAAAGGGCAATAACTCTGTAATTACTTTAGATAGAGTTATGGTTCTTGTGCACTGCACTTCCCCTTATTGTGTTTGACAATTGTATGAAGTTGTTTTGAATTCCAACCAGTAGTTTTCAAGTTATGCCCCGGACAAGGAAAAGTAACAAAGGGCAATAACTCTGTAATTAGTCATGATAGAGTTATGGTTCTTGTGCACTGCACTTCCTCTCAATGTGCTTGACCATTGTATGTAGTTATATTGAATTCCAACCATTAGTTTTCAAGTTATGCTCCGGACAAGGAAAATGCAACGGACGTCTGGACCGACCGACCGACCGCCCGACCGACCGACCGACCGACCACCGGGTGACTCCTATATACCCTCCCAAACTTCGTTTTTGGGGGTATAAAGATACAGACATTTTTACTCTCTAATAAATAAATCATCTTGAGTGAGTACACAAGTAATGTGTCACAAAACCATACATGTTGTTATTATAGAATCATCTAAGTATTGATCTATTTATAGCAAATATCCTGTATACATGCAACAATTAATAAAAACATTTAACAAAACAACATTATAACAAATATACTCAAGCATGTGATAAGGTATTGTACACAGTAAAATATGCTGGAATATTGTTTGATAGTTAAGGCAAGCATTCAATATGAAATAATCAGTAAAATTTGTAGCAAAATTTGTCATGTGAAACAGTCGTTCAATTAATTCTTTGAAAAATGAGAGCTATTGAATAAAGCTTGTAAAAGTCTGTGGGATTTACCAATGTGTCAATGTGTGCCAATACAATGCAGGGAGAAGCACCTGGTGAGTTCCTTCATGATTTAAAGCTAGTAAGCTCAATTGACCAATTTGTATCCTTACAACTAAATCAACAAGAGCCGGTTGAACCGGGTGATGCTCCCCGACTAGGTTTTGGTCACAAAAAACTGAAAAAGTACTTGTATATCTTTTGTAGTTTCAGAGTTAAGTCCCAGATAAAGTTCAAAGTGTGATAATTCCAAATTTAGGCAAGGCAGAGTTACTGTTCTTTGCACTGCACTTCTACTCAATGAGTTCTATCTATCAACTTGCTCGCGAAACGTTGTCTCAATATGGTGATCATTTCTATCACCATTTCTGTGAAATAGTTGTAAAATCCTTCTTCAAATAACGAAGTTATGGGCCGGACACGAATTTGCTGCAAGGTCATGCTGTGACCTTGACCTTCAAAGTAGCGACCCAAATGTTGCATGCGACACATGGTCTCAATATGGTGATCATTTCTGTGAAATAGTTGTAAAATTCTACTTCAAATAACAAAGTTATGGGCCATACACGATTTTGCTGCAAGGTCATGCTGTGACCTTGACCTTCAAGCTAGTGACCCAAATGGTGCGCGCGACACATCGTCTCAATATGGTGATCATTTCTGTGAAATAGTTGTAAAATCCGACTTCAAATAACAAAGTTATGGGCCGGACATGATTTTGCTGCAAGGTCATGCTGTGACCTTGACCTTCAAGGTAGCCACCTAAATGATGTGTGCCACACGTCGTCTCAATATGGTGATCATTTCTGTGAAACAGTTGTAAAATCCGACTTCAAATAACAAAGTTATGGGCCGGACACAAATTCGGGACGTACGGATGGACAACCTGGCGACTGTTTGCTCCCCCTTTTTTTTTTCAGGAAGCATAATAATCAACCTAAAAGAGTTAACCTAAGATGGCCTGGTATTTTCAATTACCCATACGTAAGTGTTGAATCTTGCGGTCCAAAAAAACTAAGCAATGCATGCAGACACAGACCATTCATGTTTCTTTATGCAATAACAATGAAAAACATTGATCATATAATCAGTTAGTCAATCAATCAATCAATCAATATAATTATTTATCACAATAAAAACATATCTAAAAGTTAAAACATAAATCTAATTAACAAAATGTATTTTTTTTGTACAATATACATGTCAACATCTACTGAATTTATCATTATTTCTATTCTATGCACATGTTAGCAAGGGTATGACAAGGGCATTATCTTAAGGTTTGGCATGACAAGGAAACACAGAACACAATATGTGAGACATTTTACTGTACACTACTGACATCTAACCTCCAATGTTGATTTATCCTTTAGTTGCAAACATTTAGCAAACATAAATATTAGTGAAATATACATGTACATTTCTCATTCAAACTTACATGGTGCTTGTAATCAATATGTGTTACTCAACTACATGTCATTAATGTGTGTTACTACTATGGAGTTGGAGCTAAAATTATCATGACAGAAACTCAAGACCACAAATGATGCATGTTTTTTTTCTTATTTTCTGCAAGTATGTGCATTATAAAGCAATGTTTTTAAAACCGATCTTTTTAAAAAGCGGGACAATGTCTTAGTGATTTATGAGCCTGCCCCTTAACCTAGCGACCATGGGTTTCAGCCCTAATAGGTTAACGGTCAAAAAGCATTCTCATTAGTCACCAGTACATGCACTGGTTTGTCAAGGACGCAGATCTTTGAAAAAAAGAGATAACTTTTAGTAATATAGATTGAAAAGTCTTGTCCAACAATCAAGCTGAAATAAATACTGTATATTTATATGTCCTATTTTTTTCTTTCTTTTCAAACATTCCATAATTAACATGCATAAACATGTAAAAACCTGTTATATTCCAATTGACATTTGAATTGACACAAATGAGTGTCTTGCTGATATCATGATCAAATGAAATGAGATAGTGTAGGCATGCCAAAGATTAAGGAAAATTTTTATAACTGCAGCAACAATAAATACAAGAGCCATGTCAACATGGCCATCCCCCACCGAATGTGTTTGCTCATTGGAAGAATGTATATGTAGTAGAGCAGAATAATTCCATTTTAAGAGGTCTTTTGGTAATGAAAACTGATGGCTATAGTGATTACAGATTTTAAACCTATTTGAATACTGATGGCTGAAAATAACAAAGGGCAATAACTGAAAAATAATGCAGGGTAGGTTATCATCCTTGTGTGCTGCATCCCTCCTCAGTAAAATCTATCCACCTATGAAGTTTCAAGTTGACACCTCAAATACTTTTTGAGAAAAAAATTGAATTGAAAAATTAAGTTTGAAAAATAACAAAGGGCAATAACTCAAAAATTATAAAAGGTACAGTTATCATTCTTGTGCAGTGCACACCTCCTGAGTGAGATCTATGCACCTGTGAAGTTTCATTTTGATATCTCAAAGGCTTTTTGAGTTATGCTCTGGACAAAAATTAATTTTTGAAAAATAACAAAGGGCAATAACTCAAAAATAATGCAGGGCAGGTTATCATTCTTTAGCACTGCACTCCTCCTCAATGAGATCCATCCACCTATGAAGTTTCAAGATGATACCTCAAATACTTTTTCAGATAAGCTCTGGACAAAATAGCATGAAAAAAACAACAAAGGGCAATAACTCAAAAAATTGTATAGGGAAGAGTTATCATTCTTGCGCACAACATTTCTCCTCAATAAGATCTATCCTTCTATGACATTTCATGTTGATATCTCAAACACTTTTTGAGTTATGCTCCACTCAGGTGAAAAATTAGGTATGAAAAATAACAAAGGGCAATAACTCAAAAAATTGTATAGGGAAGAGTTATCATTCTTGCGCACAACATTTCTCCTCAATAAGATCTATCCTTCTATGACATTTCATGTTGATATCTCAAACACTTTTTGAGTTATGCTCCACTCAGGTGAAAAATTAGGTATGAAAAATAACAAAGGGCAATAACTCAAAAATTATGAAAGGAAGAGTTATCATTCTTGTGCACTGCACACCTCCTGAGTGAGATCTATGCACCTATGAAGTTTCATGTTAATATCTCATAGGCTTTTGGAGTTATGCTCTGGACAAAAATCAATTTTGAAAAATAACAAAGGGCAATAACTCAAAAATCATGCAAGGTAGAGTTATCATTCTTGTGCACTGCACTCCTCCTCAATGAGGTCTATCCACCTATGAAGTTTCAAGTTGATAACTCAAATACTTTTAGAGATATGCTCCGGACAAAAATTTCGGACGGAAGGACGGACGGACGGAAGGACGGAAGGTCGGACGGACGGACGGAGACTATTACTATATCCTCCGCCGAAAATTTTCGGCGGGGGATAATAAGTGTTAGTGATCATTCTTGTAATGCAAATGCAGAATGATGCAAAACAGTGAATAAAATTATAATTATGCAAGTTCACATGTAAGCAATCCTTTAAAAAGTTGCCTAATAATACCAATGTTATGTAACAAAAAAAAATTCACATTTTCTTTTAAACCCTTCAGATTATGAATGGATGAATTTCTCGTTTAATGGTTACATCTCTGGTAGTTTTATTCAGCAAATATGATAAAGAACTATAAAAACATCCAAGTATCAAATAACTTAAATGCCAGCATTAATAGCGAAAGGACTTGGCCATCAGTAGAGCAATCCAGTCTGCATAGCTATACAGTCTATTAAGACTATACTATGGTATACCATACTTCGTAAATTTAAACCCTGTCCAGGGCAAGATGTTGTTTCCTTGATCGGAAAACTTTACAATCATTGCTCAGCACTGGATGGTTCCAGAAATTGAATCAAGAGTGTGTCTATAAGCTTATAGCTTCCTACTTAATGGACGTAAATAAATTCAGTATGAAATAAAACTATACAGTAGATTACTGTACTATACTATAAATTTGATAATTTCACTGTTTTGAATTTAAGCCCGTTACGTTGTTTCAGTGAAATACCAGCATACACAGAACTGGAAACAAACTTTTATTATTATTTGGAGCGCTTTTCATTTAGTATCAGGTTAAATGTCTTTTTAAACGTTTCTCTGCATATAATAAAAAGAAAATTTGTTTAGTTTAGTGTAAGATCGGAATATATTTCACCTCGTGAACACCACAAGTTTATATTTCACTCATGGCTGCGCCACTCGTGAAATATACCTTTTGGTGCTCACTCAGTGAAATATATTCTGATCTTACACTGAACTAAACAAATATCCTCTATATATTTTGAAATTGCGATTATCTACGTAATGGTTAAGTATTCCAGAATCAGATCATTTCTTATACACACAGTAACCATGGTAAGGTTACAGTTATTTTACCACTATTTGTTTTGTCATACTTACAACTTTTGAATGTGAAAGGAGTTGAAGAATTCCAGGTGTAACACGGGCCCAGAAATCCATCACCATTGACGAGGCTGCTATATGCTGCTCCGAGTTGGTGTTATACATCGCAGCAGTACTTTCACAGTACATGGTCCATAACTGTGAGCACCAAAAGAAATTTAATACACACACATATATATATGTATATTATACTTTTGTAATTTCTTTTCATAATTTTACTATGTCTTCTTTTCATAATTTTACTATGTCTTCTTTTCATAATTTTACTATGTCTTCTTTTCATAATTTTACTATGTCTTGATATATGCAGCCAATTTATAAAGTTATAAAATTAAATTTGCATTATATTCATATATAAAATTACATTTTTAATTTCTGGATCACTCAAATAACTGAAAGTAATTACAAATCACACAATTAATTGAAAATATAAAATTTAATAATATGCATAGAAAATGTATAATGTTACTTATAAACTCATTCTTGTTTACTTTAACATAATTACTAGTATGCTATAATAATTGATTAATTTTTTATCAATTTTTAGGAATTGTACCTGTTATATTCTGATATAAAAGTATGCATATATTTATTACCTGACATAGGAAGAAAGCATGGAAGAGGGAACTCATATTCAGCACTGATGACTGTAAAACACAAAGTATGGAGATGTTTTACAATAATACAATAAAGACTTTGTTTTCTTCAACTTGTAAATTTATTCCCCTCCTAATAGGTATGTTGGGATCAAGGGCATCCCCCTTTATGCCTTACAAAGATTTCATTTATCATATAAATATATGTTCAAATGTACATTCACCAAATTGATTACATTTTAAAAAGTCATACAATGAACTAACATATATACATGCACATACATAACACAATTAACTGATTTTAATTTCAATCATGAACCCTTACATAATGTGTTATGTGAATCTGAAGTAAAACATGGTCAATATTGAATCTGAAGGTCAGAGACTTAATTCCATGTTAATATATTAATCAGAAGGTTCAGGTCAGATTTCACATTTTTCATTCTGTATGATAACTTTTCGAAACGTTTTATCAAATATAAATGACTTACATTAGACTGTTCAGCAAAGCCTGTCATAATGACGAGAACATGTTCTGCGATGAATGTGCTGGCATCAAGCGGGAACGGCATACAGGTAATGCATGCAGCACCTTCAGTCATGGCTGTGTGTGTCAATGTTCCAATCAGAAGCCATGACATCAACCGAATATGTCCTATACAGTCTGTAAACTCCTTTGGTCTGAAACACATAAGTAAATTATTCACTTACAGAAAAGTAAGTATTGTTTGGTTTTATTAACCTGTCAATTCCATACTAATTACACGGTCAATGCACACAATATATTAATCTTCGAAAGATTTTCGGTAATTTCCGTGAGATGTACTCAGTGAGATTTGATTAAATATAATTTGTGCCTATGGAGCAATTATACTGTGCGGTATAGCGAAATAGGGTAAGCTACAGGTTAATGATTTCTTTCTAAGTGTCCTACGTGTTGTGAGATCGAGACCGCGTACCTCCAATGTTTTTTGGGTTTTTTCTTCTTCTTATAACTATTTTCAACATTATCGGAACTATAATTGCTTGTTATGTTGTTCGTTTTGATTTAATATGTTTAGCAATTAAACTCCTTTTAAATAACGTGCTCTCATAATTAAAATTTATAATAAATTAGGATTAAAATTAGAAAATGTCGTTTCAATGGCGTTAAACACAATACAAATTGAGACAATATTTCTTAGTTGATTCATATATGTGTAGACAATATTGGAAGCACTCGGACATTTTCATGAAAATATACTGCAAAAAAAAAGAGTACGCCTTAAACAACGGCAAAATTAGGGATCGAACTACAGACCCCCAGTATGTTAGACAATCACTCTACCGTCTGTGCTATCGCGGATTTGACAAGGCCTATGCATTTAGCTGGTGTGACTTTTCAAAACATTAATTTTTTACTCCATATTAATTCTCGTAAACTACACGGATAAAACCGAAGTGAAATCGAATATTTAAATGAGTGCTATAATGTATTCAAAATTGACAGGTCAATAAAATCAGACTATAAAGCATATTAAATTATTGATAAACATTTATTTTTCAGCGACAGATAAAAAAATCCCTCAAGTAATTTAAATTCTTTGTTAGTGATGAGTTTAGGACTAGTCTTATTGTTTTTTTTGTTTTTTTTCCTTGAAGTAATCAATTATTCCACATTAATTTGTTAATGTTATTTGTAAGGTCAAATGATGCTAGTTTTTTTGGGGTTTTTGTTTAGAACATACTCATTGCATTACATGTGAAATTGATTTTTTCACTGTTAGACCCCAATCCATTGAGAAATAAATAAAAAATATATTACCACTATTTAAGTTTACGGATGGCAATAATTAATTAATATTTAAGTTTTCGGATGGCAAAATTGATTAATATTTAAGTTTTCGGATGGCAATAATTAATTAATATTTAAGTTTTCGGATGGCAATAATTAATTGATATTTAAGTTTTCGGATGGCAATAATTAATTAATATTTAAGTTTTCAGATGACCGCTTTTTTTTTTTCTGAAAAAGTAAATAATAAATAAATGGAAATAAGATACTAACAAGGTAAAACAAGAAAATAGCATTATCGAACAAAAATAAAAACAAATTACATTGATCAAGTGGTAACTTACCCCTGTTGTGTGGTAGATGGTGGATGATACAGCCAAGGTAGATATCTGGCTATAGCTCTGTTATCTCGACCATTACCACGTGTTATCTCTAGGGCAACATACTGGGCCACACCCGACTTGATCAGACTGCCTAGTGTATCCTCATTCATACTGTTACAACCACCCTTCATGTTTGTCTATAGCAATCATTTTAAAGTCATTATAATTATTGTGTTAAAAAAGCATATGATATGAACCAGTCTTGTAAACTGTTTCTGCGCATTTAACAGAGTGAACACAAAACAATCTAATGCTAGGAAAAAAAGGCAAAGAAGGAATTCCCACAATGACTTTGCTACATCATCAACTAAAAATATGATTATCATTTTTCAATACCTAAAATATACGTTTAACCAATTTTCTATAAATATACATAATAAGTTTGGAGCTTATGATGTACATACTGAACTATTAGAACTTATTACCAATAAGTAAAATTCAATAACAAACATATATCATGCATTATAAAAAGATTAAACTTATGTATGATCTCTCTGAGGCAGCCAACTCTTGTCTCAATATATCTGAGAAAAATCTAAAATTGTCAGTTGAGATTTGTCTAGAGACTTTTAGTGAAAGTGAAACTGAGAAAAATCTCAATTTCAATTTCTGAGTTGAGAAAAATCTTAGATTTGAGCTGAGCTTATGACTTTGAAGACGTAAGTACAAAGCTATCTGTCTCCTGTACAAAGCTATCTGTCACCTGTACAAAGCTATCTGTCTCCTGTACAAATCTATCTGTCTCCTGTACAAAGCTATCTGTCTCCTGTACAAAGCTATCTGTCACCTGTACAAATCTATCTGTCTCCTGTACAAATCTATCTGTCACCTGTACAAAGCTATCTGTCTCCTGTACAAAGCTATCTGTCTCCTGTACAAAGCTATCTGTCACCTGTACAAATCTATCTGTCACCTGTACAAAGCTATCTGTCTCCTGTACAAATCTATCTGTCACCTGTACAAAGCTATCTGTCACCTGTACAAAGCTATCTGTCACCTGTACAAATCTATCTGTCACCTGTACAAATCTATCTGTCACCTGTACAAATCTATCTGTCACCTGTACAAATCTATCTGTCACCTGTACAAATCTATCTGTACAAAGACGGAATAAACTTTTTGACCATAGCTGTTCAATTTTAGTATTTTGACATAAAAATTCTTGTAACTAACAAGTGGACAGTCATATAGTCAAAGCAAGTCCAAGGCTTAAACTTCAATGGGGGGTAAAGGTTCGCTGTTGTTACACTGAAACACTTACTAAAGCATATAATTATATAAAAATCTGACCTTGACTTTCGAGATAGTATGTAGATCACTGATGAATTCTACACAATCACTGAGATACTGTCTCATACATTCAGCAGCGTATGTAGACATCAATGTATGTGCATGTGTATGATACAACATACCTAGCTCACCAATAATGTTAGAGCTCCCAATAGTACCACCAGCATCCAGTACTACAAACTGCAAATATATATATATTACATGTTGATATCTGGTACTGTCTTTGTTCTAAATTTATTAATAGTCTGTTTATTTCATAATGAAAGTAAATCATATGCCAGAGCACAATTATAAAGTACAATGCCAGGAGGAAAATTCTAGGAAATTATTTTTATAGCATGTAAAAACAAGCTGATTCACATAACTACTAAGTCAAAATTCTTCACAAAAATGTTAACAGGAATTCATTATCAATGGACATTTTAAATATGAAATCTTTGCAGAACAATAACAGACATGCATCATGATGGTTGTGTTAAAAAAATTAAACATATACATTGTTAGATAGTGTAATTAACTTTTGGATCACTATGATCCATTTCTGCTTAAAATTTCAGACTTACAATAATTAAAATATATTCAAAACACTTTGGAATAGAATAGAATAGAATGTTATGCTTTAAAAACACTTTGGAATAGAATAGAATGTTATACTTTAAGTAAGTACATTGTTAATACATGTTGGTATATAACAGATCATATTATGAACTTTGGGATTGATGTTAATAATTTTACCTGTACTAGCAGTAAGAAGTTCTCATCTGGCAAACTGGTTTTATATTTCAGTGCTTGTACAAGCTGAAAGATCACTATCCTTGTTAAATACAGCTTATCCCTCTCCTGAAATAACAGAGCACTTATTGTTACAGTGAAATTATCTTCATTTTTAACCTGCTGCATCTTACAACAGACTAAATCCTCATCCTCCAAAACTGAAATTTTAATAAAAAAATAAATAGATTCCAAGATACTCTACTGTTTGCTGCTGTTTTTGAAGCTGTCATTTATAATGCTAAGGGAATTAACTAGGTGTCAGCTCATTTCTGAAATTAAGTAAATTGGGGCACAAAGGCCCCACATGATAAAAAATCCTCACATCACATTGACAAATTTGTTAACAAAAGTTTTAATAATAACAAGAGGGCCATGATGGCCCTGAGGTCGCTCACCTGTATATATGCCCCTGGAGCGGGGCCAGTTTAAACCCCAGGGCTTTTATTTGAACAAACTTGGAAGACACCCATTAGAAGATGTTTCATGATGTTAAGTTTTTATTACACACATATAATGAAAAACAATGACCTCTGGCCTTCCCCCCCCCCCCCAATTTTTACCCAAGGGCTTTTATTTGAACAAACTTGGTAGACACCCATAAGAAGATGTTTCATGCTAAACATCTAAGCTCTAGCTCATTGGGTTTTTTAAAAGAAGATTTTTAAGTTTTTACTAAACACATATAGTTAAAAACAATGACACCCCTGGGGCGGGGCCAGTTTTGACCCCAGGGCTTTTATTTGAACAAACTTTGTAGACACTTACCTCAAGATGTTTCATGCTTAATATCTAAACTCTAGCTATTTGGGTTTTTTCAAAGAAGATTTTTAAGTTTTTGCTATACACATATAAGGAAAATCAATGACCACCGGGGCGGGGCCAATTTTGACCCCAGGGCTTTTATTTGAACAAACTTTGTAGACACTCGCTAGAAGATGTTTCATGCTTAATATCTAAAACTCTAGCTATTTGGGTTTTTTCAAAGAAGATTTTTTTTAAGTTTTTGCTTTAAACATATAAGGAAAATCAATGACCCCGGGGCGGGCAAATTTTGACCCCAGGGCTTTTATTTCAACAAACTTGGTAGACACTCATTAGAAGATGTTTCATGCTAAATATCTTAGCTCTAGCTCTTTGGGTTCTTTAAAAGAAGATTTTTTAAGTTTTTACTATATGCATATAGGAAAAATCAATGACCCCCTGGGGCAGGGCCAATTTTGTCCCCAAGGCTTTTATTTGAACAAACTTGGTAGACACTCACTAGAAGATGTTTCATGCCAAATATCTAAGCTTTGGGTTTTTTAAAAGAAGATATTTAAAGTTTTTTTCTTTCGGTTGCCATGGCAACCCGAGTTCTGCATGGAATTAAATTCTTTGAACAATTTTTAAAGGTGACCACCAAAGGAACATTCCTGTGAAGTTTGGATGAAATTGCCTTAGTGGTTTATGAGGAGATGTCATTTAAAGTAAAAGTTTACGGATGAACAGACGCCGGACGAAAAGCGATCACAAAAGCTCACCCTGTCACTTTGTGACAGGTGAGCTAAAAATAATAATAATAGATTCCAAGTTGTTCTGCTCACAACCTCCTCACAACCCAGAAAACTCTATACAAACTTACCCTGGTAAAGATTCTATTACACAATGAACAGATGTCCAGGACCTGGTGTAGGTGAAAGCTGCAAGATGTCACAGCAATACATAACAGCTTAGAAAATGGTTCAAGAATGTGCTGAAAAAAAATAGAAGGTGCATTTCTGTCATAGAAAACTAAAGTTATCAATAAACATGGGAATAGATATTTGAATTTTCAAGATAATTGGATCAATTATGTTAATCAATAAATGTGAATACGATTATGCAATATTAATGTTTACTGCAAATTTCCAATTACAAGGGTGAAATTTCTTTATTTTAAAATCTGTGAATATTCTATATTTAGCAATTCTCGTAACAGTTATGAAGAAAAAGATGGCTTTTGCAAGTCTGAAAATCTTAAATTCTGGAATAATCCTTAAAATTTTTTGTCTACCATTTTCAAAATTTTAACGATTAAAATATAGGGTACAAATCTCATAAAGAAGATGTAGAGAAGAAGCAATTACCGTAAAAAATCATTTATTGTGATTATTGTTTAAACATTGAAAAATTAGTATACTAAAGTATGAAAGTTTAATCCCTATCAGACCAATTTATTACTAGCTTTACTTTCACTCTCTGTAAATCAATAAAAGTCATGTCAATTCAATACAAATATTCAATACCTTTGCATTATTGATGCCATTTACTTTCAGTAGACATGTGATTATTTTTAGAACTGACGTCATGTCACATGGTACTGGTAGAATCTCCGACAGCCGACGGAAAAACACATCAAACTGGTTTAGAATATTTGCCCACATGGTGGCACTGGTTTCCAGGGAGATAGAATTCATGTATGTTGCTAGGTTATCAAGCAACAGCTGAATGTTGTCTGTACACAATGTTCTCATGTTGTTTAAACCCTAAAATACAACATAATAAAGTATACTTTTAGGTCTGTATTTTACCTACTTAGACACAATTTCTGTAATACAGTTAAGCTTGTCTAAAAATAAAATATCAATACCTACCTATATCTTTTAATATTAACCATGTTTTTTTTTTGTTAACTTATTAAGTCTTTATGCCTTAGGTTCTGTCCAAAATGTTGAAAACTCCAATCCAAATGGGAGGGGGCAGAATTTTTCAGTTTTATACAGTAAGCTTTTACCATAAACATGGTACTATAAATGAGCCGCGTCACGACAAAACCATCCTAATGCGCCTGCGCAGTCTGATCAGGATCCATGCTGTTCGCTTACAAACCCTATTACAAGTAGAGAAACTGATAGCGAACAGCATGGATCCTGATCAGACTGCGGGGATGCACAGGCTGGTCTGGATCCATGCTGGTTGCAAACGCATTACATTGGTTTTGTCGTGACGTGGCTCAAATGTTTTTTGTTTTTCCACAGAATGAAAATCTTATTATAGCATCAATCACCTCCACTACCATATACATAGTAACTATAAATACTGAATTAAGACTATATATACCTCAAGGAGAAAGTGTATAGCAGCATGACACGGAAGCTCAGTAAAATCAACCAGAGCAGCTGCCATTGTCTTCCAAAACTGACTGTCTAAAATATACAAAATTATAGTACTAAATCTAAAAAACAGCACTGAAAAATATGTCAATTTAATTTCATAATTACATGTTCATGTATCATAGTCAACTTTTCATAATTCAATGAATTTACTTTTGCATAATATTTATAATTTATTTTATAGTTTCTTCTTGACTCACTGGCAATGCTTAACCAAATCCTAAGGGGATTATGTATAATGTCATTTCTCAGACATTATTTTTAAATCATGTTTTAATATAATGTTTTCTCTCTATCAATGCTTAAAGTTTAATGACTAAAAACACCTTCTGTTGTCATAGCAATCATACTGGTTAACATTGTGACCTTTGTGACTAAAAATAAGCATAAATCAAAGTGATAAAAGTTACCATCAAAGCTACTCTGGAACAGCATAGGAAATATTCCATTAGGAGCTAGCTGGTGTAGACAACATCGTATAAACTGACGTGCTATGCTTAAACTGTTACCCGGTACTAGAACATTTGTCTCCATCTGCCATGCATACGGACTGCTACATGCAATCCTGTACAAAAAATAGATAGAATGATGATATCTTAGCATTAAATCATTTTAAACATGATTGTCCATTAACTAACTGGCTTTTTGCATATAGATTAACAATGGTATATAAACATGTAGAAATATAATGTTTATACATTCAAAAGTATACTTTTTATTTTATTGCAGTCTCAAAGAATAATTGTGTAAAGAGAGACTAATTAAGTTTAAATCAAACTACATGTAACTGCTAATCACTAAAAGGATTTTGAGTTTTTTCCTAACATTTAACTGCATAATGAGTAAGTGAATTATCAATGAAAACAAATATATCTAATAAGAAGTAGTTTTATTAAATGTATTTAACAAGTATGTAAGATTCAACACTAGTATTCTCCATCTTTCATAACGCTACAATTGCTATAAAACAATTGTAATATTTCAATAAAATTAAAAGGGAAAGCACTGACCTTGACACAGCAATTAAGCTCTCTAGCAGCATAGGCGTGGCTAGAGATGGTTCTCTATGGATGTAGGTTGCCAGGACGACGACACTCAGACCTATGATCTCATCATCATACTGCTCTAGTATAGCGTTACAATCCTGGCATCTTTCAACCATCGCATTCTCACTGTGACGGTTTGGTACTGGTTTCTTTGCTGGTGGTTTAGCTAGAAGGTCACTCTTCCGCATTTTCCTATTTCTGTTAAATTATATTTGAAAAAAAAAATGTTTACTCATTTTTAAAATCAGAATGATTAAATGATAATAAAGTGATGATTTTGGAAACTGATATTATCTTTTTAACAAGCCAAGACTTAGAAGTGTAAGTGAAAACATTCCAAAAACCAAACGTATGATGTTTATAGAATGTGTAGAAATAAATTCCAATTGGTTACCTTTCTTTGTCTTTTTCTGCAACAATTTTACAGAACTTCATGTTTAAAATAACTAATGACTTACTCAGATCTAGAAGATTTATCAGTATCTGGACTATCAGAGGCCAACTCAGGAAATTTCTTCTGTAACTCTATAGTAGATAATCCTGTCTTTCTAGATTTCCTCTGTCTGAAGTTTGGTTTTATCCCTCCTTTACTTCTTGGGCTTGTAGACTTTCTTGATTCTGAAAAAAAAAAAAAAAACAGAACTATTTCTTAAAATTTCCAACAGCAATTTCTTATACTGTATTCCTAGAAATGTTCGCGGATACAATATTTCGCGTTTTTCACAACGTCGGCATTTTCTATCTTTCAACCATAGCATTCTCACTGTGACGGTTTTTGGTACAGGTTTCTTTGCTGGTGGTTTAGCAAGAAGGTCGCTTTTCCGCATTTTCCTATTTCTGTTAAATTATATTTTAAAATGAAAATTTAATCAGTTATAAATTAGAATGATATAAATGTAATATAAATATAGTGATGATTTTGGAAACTGATATTATCTTTTTTAACAAGCCAAGACTTAGAAGTGTAAGTGATGTTTATAGAATGTGGAGAAATAAATTCCAATTGGTTACCTTTCTTTGTCATTTTCTTCAACAATTTTACAAGAACTTCATGTTTAAAATAACTAATGACTTACTCAGATCTAGAAGATTTGTCAGTATCGGGACTATCAGAGGCCAACTCAGGAAATTTCTTCTGTAACTCTATAGTAGATAATCCTGTCTTTCTAGATTTCCTCTGTCTGAAGTTTGGTTTTATCCCACCTTTACTTCTTGGGCTTGTAGACTTTCTTGATTCTGAAAAAAAAAAACAGAACTATTTTTTAAAATTTCCAACAGCAATTTCTTATATACCAAGAAATGACTTCTCAAATGTGTTATCTACTTCAACATAAATTTTCAAAAATAATTTTTTTCCCCATTTATTTACTTTCCTCTTTTATCAAAATATTAACATACATTGTGACAATTATACAGACAGCCATATATTGCTTTATACATTTTAAAAGGTAGATGCAGTATATACCTTTGACAGAATTTTTCCTGGATCCACCAGGAGAATCGGCATCAGATGTAGTCTGTGTTTTCTCACTTTCCTCGGCACTTTCCGGATCCTCGGACATCAGTCCATCTTTACTGGTCTCAGATATACTGGTTCCTTCTTTACTACTCAACATGTCAGGTTCATGGCTACTCACATGTCTAAAATAGTAAAACTGTCAATGTTGTTTTTCTTTCTTTGATGTAACATTTATGAGCCGTGTCATGACAAAACCAACATAATGGGTTTGCGACCAGTATGGATCCAGACCAGCCTGCGCATCCGCGCAGTCTGATCAGGATCCATGCTGTTCACTTACAAACCCTATTAAAAGTAGAGAAACTGATAGCGAACAGCATAGATCCTGTTCAGACTGCGGGGATGCACAGGCTGGTCTAGATCCATGCTGGTCGCAAACGCACTAAATTGGTTTTGTTGTGACGCGGCTCAAATGCATTTATGTTGTTCATGAAACATAATATAACTAATATAAATACCTATTTTAAAATATTAATAACTTACATGTATTTAATAAATTTCCTTTCACTTTTATTATAGTTTTATGGAAAATGACTTTCATTAATTTTGTGCAAGTATATTTAAACTTATCCTTTATTATTTGTAAAAACCTGGTGGCAATATATCTTTTAATATAATGTTATGTTAATTTACTAATCTTTATGTTAAAAAAATCTCTCAATTTTAAAATTTCTGTAATTGTTAGTACTCATAAAGCATGTTACACATATTTTCCAAAACAACTACACTTCTGGATGTTAAACTTGAATGTCATTAACTTTTAATTATCACATAATACCTAAATCTTGTTTTGTAAATATTTTACTATAAAGATAGCTTATTCTTTTTTCATTTATAAGATTCTCAATCAGTTATAACTTTCTTTCGATTTTTAAAAACCTACCAACAGATTTATTCAGGCATTTACTCAGATAAGACCATCACAGCCATGAAGACTTTACTTGTATCCTCAATTTCTAATATACTTACCTAAGAGCTGTCTTTACAACCCCAGCCCCTGGTTTATTATCCGCATGTAGGTCAAACTCCTCTAATTGTTGAACCATCTTCTTCTCTACTGTCAATGGTTTTTTAGGCTTTCCTCCAGTAGCCCCCTATAGTACACAATCATTTCTTTAATCACTTTAACACTAGCAGACATAATAATAGAAATTTTATACCAAAAAGAATAGATAGAAACTAGACTGCTTAATCTGATAAGATTCTATAATGTTGGCTCCTCTCTTTCAGTATTTTGATATCCAAGTCAGAAGCAAGACATGTTCATCATACAAATGCATACATGTATATACCAAAGAAAGCACTAAATACCATTATAAATAACATGTGCCATTCCTTTACCTAAATATTATAAAAATATAGTTAATCTAATGTAATGCTTTACAACTAACTTAGAAACAAACAATCAATCATAGTCTGTGACCTATGAGATATCACTTTATCAATTTAACAAAGACCTACATGTACATGTATATGTATTTACATGAGTGCTTAATTAGCGTTATTAGCTTCCTTCTTTATGTGTTACTGTACAAGAATGAAGAAATTTTAATCAAATTAGAGGTGACACAAAATGTAATTGAAAATTGTGTACATGTATAAAGAATCATTAAACAAACACGTTTTCATACTCTACACCCAGCACGTACCTGTGTTTCACTATGTTGGTCAGAAGAATCTTCTGTCTCATTCTCCAGGTAGTGTACAAGTTTACGAGGCGGGTGTTCTTTACGCTGTTTTGTCTTTCTAATCGGTGTTTCTGATACTAAAAATGTAGTGTTCAAAATCTAAAAGCTGTACATTTCTAAGACTTAATTGGATTAAACATATTTAAGTTAAGCTTAAATTTGAAAGAAGATCTTGTAACTAATATTAATCACTTTAAAGTGTGCTTCCTGGAACTAACCAGTACTGGTGTAATACATGGTTGTGGTTGAAGTAGATATAGAACCAGCCAGCAATCACTAACCTATGATCCCTGGGTTCAGAGTCAGACACCTTAACCACAACAGGCTACCACTATTTTTTTTCAATTTTCCTCCCCAAAAGTTAATAGCAACTTTGAATCACAAAGATGTGTAAATTAAGTCATAATATGTGTATTTATTGACTTACAAAAGTGTTGTGATGATCCCTCCAATTTTCTTTCATAAAATATAACATATACCAAACTAATTTTTGTTCAGAAATGAACATAAATAAATTAATCATTAACTTTGATTTTCATTTCTGATGAAGATACATTAAAATTAAAACAAGGAGAATGTGTCTTGATTCTTTACATTATACACATTAATTTAAAAATCTAATTCAAAATTTGCCCTTAAAAGTTTCTAACTGTATCTAAGTGTCATGCAAATATAATACCATGCTGTAAAGATATTGGTGATATTTTCCTACTTCCAATCTTTGAAGATTCTTTGTCTGTAGATGAGGACCCCTCTTTGCTAGTGTCGTCTTTGGTTGTACCAGACTTGTGGTACTTTACGGTGGTCGTACCGGTGTCTCGCACCATCTCTATAAATACATCTTCGTTAACAGCTGTTGGGGAGGGACTCTGGGGCGGGGTTTCTGTCTCAAGAATGTTCTCAAGATCATTTACACTGATCTTTGCTGAATCTGTTAGAAATATTTCTGATTGCTTTAAAAATCAATTTTCCACAACTAGTTTTTGTATTATTAAAAGTGAATAACAAATTTTAGGAAAAAAATATAATTTGCACACTTCCAACCACATTTATGTGATAAGTTTTCTTGTTTTCACTAAGAAATTAAGATAAATGCAGGTTTTAACATAAGTTCTATGCATTACAAAACTGAAAGGCTAAGTGAATTTAAAATCAACATGCATAAAATTTACTGCTATATGAAAGTACTATGTCTTTAACTTCAAACAACTAGTAAAAACAATTTTATAGTTAAAATATTTTAAAATCTGATTTAAAGAATTCGAGCATGTTTAGTTTTTTTCTTGTTTAACTTTTTTATGCCAATTTTAACCTATTTTTTGTGAACATGACAATTGGTATAAGGTGCCAATATGTTATTCTTAAAAGTATGACTTTCCTGATCAACTTTCTCAGTAAATACCAATTCTTCTGAGTCATTGTCTGAGAGAATAGACTATTCATGTATTACAAGGATATACCTTTACTCCTGGGCATGTTAGGACTAGCAGGAGGCATGACATCATCAGGTAGGATCTTACAATGATGATGCTGGGCTTCTATTGTGTTCACTACAATTCTTACTAATGTCTGTACAATAGCTGATACTGGTGATGTGCTGATCTGATACTGTAATATATAGACATATAACAGCCTTATAAATATATATCAAATTATGCCATGTGTCCTTGGCCTTGGAGCTAAAGGCCTTGGATCTTCAACACAACACATGGTCTTTGATGGTTATCATTTGTGCTAAATTTAAAAGAAAATTAATGACAAAGTAATGATCAGTACACAATTTCTGACAAACTTATGGACAGAGAGGCGAGAGTATTTCTATACAACTACATAAAATTTGTACAATTTAAACAAATGGTAAACAAAACTGATATTCATACAATCAAACATAAAGTTAACTTAAAGATGGAATGCAGCATTCATATGCTTTGTGTATGTATTGAAAGACTTCACATATTGAACGTACCTTGTACAATATAACAAGTAATGTATGTAACCATGATATCCTGGTATGAGGTTCCAGATACCACAGTGTATAGTTAGGAGGTTGATAATCACTCGCATATCTCTGTGGGGAAGGTCCATACTGTAGCAGTAGTAATGTTATAGGCAGAATCTTGTTTCCAAGCTCAAAATTTCTATCCAAGACCTGAAATATGCACAACAAAAGTCTTATAAAAATGAATAGTATCATTATATCAAAACAGCATTTTTAAATGTCTATAAGTTTTGTCTTTGAAATCAAATTACAATATTTTTAACTATCTATAAAAATACATTTTAATGAGAAATTTCTTCCTTCAGTTTTAAAAGAACTGATATCTACAGCTCTTTTGACATATACTCATAAAAAGTAGTTTGAATAAGACTTCAGTACATTTTGAAAGTAAAGATTACAGTCATGTACTTACAAAAGGTGTTCCACTCAGGTAGGAATTGAACACAGCTGATGTTCTGAAAGTAAAATAATACTAACATATACATAAACATTACAGATCTAAAAAAATTAATACTAGTACAAGTTTTAAGATGTCTTGAAAAAGTCTTTAACAATCATTAAGAAAATGATGGTTTAATGACTAGCTAAGGCATATGTATGGAGGTGTTGGTAGTTCACCCTCCCGATCACGGCAGTGAGCCTCACTGAATTTACCAGGGCATAGTTCAGCCTACACATCATTCCTGTGCAAGCTGTCAAGCAGTAAACCAGTACTAGTTAAGAAACTGGTAAATTTTATACATGCCAGAGTAGAGGTACAGTGTCAATGACTGCAGAAAGGATTTCATGTTCAATTACACTAAAGGTGACCATCACTATCAGGGAATTGAACCCCACGCACCCGATTCACAGTTCATAGCTCTACTTATTGATCTAACCAGAAGGTTGCTACATATATATATTAAATTTCCCATTAAGCATTATCATTCAAATAAAATATTTACTGAGAGGTGATGGATGCTCTCTTACTGTATTTTGTCAATCTATTTCAATATAAAATATGAAGGAATATAAAAGTTCTATTTTTAGCATTGGTGTCCTTGACCCCCAAACTTCACCCGAAAGTAAGAGGACCGTCAAAGGTCAAATATGGTCAGTAAATATAGTTATCAAAGAACCCATCAGAAAGGTGCGGGGGAAAATTTAAGGAGTGTAAAAATAAGCCTATACTAACCTGAGTTTGTAGGGTGGTACACTAAAAGACTTTTCTGACTGGTTGTAGCCTAGCAACACATTTAGATGTCTCAGCACTATGTTCTACAATAGATTAGAAAACATTATCAGACGTATATTTATAATAAATAAAAGCATGCAATAAACTTAAAAATCCCTAGATTCATGTCTGAAATGTTGGTCATGCTGCCACACCAGCTTTGTATCAAACTTTTAGGTCATTAATATATAGAGTAGGATTCAAAACAAATTGTACTAAGACTGTATAAATTTTTTATAAAAAACTGTAAAAAAAAAAAAATGAAAATTGTATAAAAATTGTATGAAAATGTAAATTGTATAAACACTGTATAAAAAGCATATAAAATTGTATGGAAATGAAAAATGTATAAACACTGTATAAACAAGCATATACAAATTGTATGGAAATGAAAATTGTATAAACACTGTATAAACAAGCATATAAAAATTATATGAAAATTGTATAAAAACTTTTATGAAAATGGTATAAAAACTGTATAAAAAGCATATAAAAATTGTATGGAAATGAAAATTGTATAAAAACTACATAAAAAAATGTAGGAAGTTCTAAAACAACTGTAAAAAAAATGCTTAAAGAATTATAAAAACTGCATATAAAGTGTATCAGACCTCTGCTTTCTGATCCTCATCGGAGATTATCTCCTGCTCACATTTGATCATATACTGAAAATATAATACAATAATACCATCTATATTAACACAAGATAATGAAGGGGGACATCTTCATGGACTAGTAGTTAATATCTCCTATTACTAACTACTTGATATTTCAATGCTATAGGTTTGGATCCCACAAGGCACTTAGGACTCTATCATGTTAGGAAGCTATCCAGTAATAATTCTATCAGAATTCAGGGAAAAAGATTCTATTAGAAAGTTAAGATTTTATAATGAAATCATATTCTTCTATTGATAATGAATTCATGTTGTGATATCAAATACTTTGTAAATATATTAAATGATATAACTGGTATATTTTACATACATTATAAAATCTTTAGTACAGTACTGTATCATAAAACTGTACTATATTGATTATTGAATTAGAAATGATTGTTATAAATCATGAATCAAATTGTAGCTTAACATTGATTATCAATGCATTGAATCAAATAATCTAACATTTTAATGACAGGATGAAACATACATAAATAAATTCACTAAAATATGTAATTATTTTATTATTTCTGCTGATCATCAATTAATATATTACCTTCATTAATAGAGCCACTAATTGATGTACAGTCTCCCTATCAACACCCTCTAGGTCCATGGCACGCTGTAATAGTGCAGCAAAATTACTCTCCTCATCTGTAAACTCCTTCAAGTATCCACCTGTAAACAATAGCATACAAAAACACTGTAACAATGCTCAGTCTTGTATGTATCACAAACAATACAAATCCAGCAATATAAAAAGTTGTATTCTTGTTAGTAAATTATTTATTTGATCACAACAAATCTTGGATCAAAATAATTGAATTTTAAACTATATGTACAACATGTCATCAATTATTGACACTAACTATTTGTAAGAAAGTGATAAATGAAAAATTCAAGCATAAGACTAGTCTGAAGTTTGGCCTATATCATAACGCGACAAATTAATTACATAGAAATAAAAGACACCAAATGTGATACCCTATTACCCTTACCTTGGAACACTGAATTAGTCAGATTTCCAAGATTAAACTTTGATGTTCCTTGTCGGTTTAATCTAAACTGAGGTGCTGACTGCTGTCTGATACAAGATTTATCCTTGTCTTTATCTACAAATATATAACAATTGATTAATCCTTGTCTTTATCTACAAATATATAACTATTGATTTATCCTTGTCTTTATCTACAAATACATAGCAAATGATTTCTCTTTGTCTTTATCTACAAATATATAACAACTGATTTATCCTTGTCTTTATCTACAAATATATATCAATTCATTTCTCTTTGTCTTTATCTACAAATGTATAACAAATGATTTATCTTTGTCTTTATCTACAAACATATAACAATTGATTTATCCTTGTCTTTATCTACAAATATATATCAATTGATTTATCCTTGTCTTTATCTACAAACATATAACAATCTATTTATCTTTGTTTTTATCTACAAATATATAACAAACGATTTATCATTGTCTTTATCTACAAATATATGACAACTGATTTATCCTTGTCTTTATCTACAAATATATAACAATTGATTTATCCTTGTCTTTATCTACAGACATATAACAATTGATTTATCCTTGTCTTTATCTACAAATATATAACAACTAGTTTATCTTTGTCTTTATCTACAAACATATAACAACTGATTTATCCTTGACTTTATCTACAAACATATAACAATATTCTTTCTCTACAAATATATAACAATCTATTTCTCTTTGTCTTTATCTACAAATATATAACAATCTATTTATCTACAAATATATAACAACTTATTTATCATTGTCTTTATCTACAAATATGTAACAATTGATTTATCCTTGTTGCTATCTACAAATATATATTAATTGATTTATTCTTGTCTTTATCTATAAATACATAACAATCTATTTATCTTTGTCTTTATCTACAAATATATAACAACTTATTAATCTTTGTCTTTATCTACAAATTATAACAATAACTACATTATCCAAGGTAAGATATGCACTTGCTTTTTTTAATGCAAAAATGGTAAAATAATTTGGTAACTATTATAGACATTTATACCTATTTGAACCTATTATAGACATCAATTCTACTGTCATTTGTTTAAAGTGACAAAAACCTTACATCAAAACTTAAAAACTATTATTAAGCTGTTGAAAGCTTCTTTGAAGTATTCAAATTAAAAGTTAGAAAAAATATAACCTTTGATTTATTGATAATTTCTTGTGTCCTGCATTTTCAAAATTTTTCCTGAGTTGTGTCTTCAATCATAGAATTTTCATTGGCCAATAGTGATTTTGTGCTGGTTTCTGACCAATCAAACACCTGAGATCTGAGTTTGAGCTTAAAAAAAATCTTTATAACACTGGAATTAGCTTGCTATCAATCTTTGCAAACTATGTAATAGGAGAAAATATGCTATTTCACCAACCTTTGATGGGAGACTTTGTAAGCAAGTGTATTGGTACTGACACAGCTCTTCGGTACGGAGGTTTACCACCTAAACTCTTGCTTACAGATCGTATACTGTCTGTCCGTGCCAGTGCAAATCTTGCACGATTCAATTTTCTCAAGAAGTGCTCACTCTCCCTATCACTACTGGTCAAATCTGAAATACGACAGGAATATAAAATAAGTAAATATTCATTAGCAAAATCACAATTTAAATCTATTAATCCAGCATATTAAAAACAAACTTTCCAAGAATATTTAACATTTTGCTGTGACAAATTTAAGATGCATCTTAAGTAATGATAAGATGTTGATAAGAAACAGAGACATAGTTTTGGTAAATTGTTAGAAAAAAGGTAAAAATTATCATTTCAAATATTTCTGTATGAACACCTTACTATGTTTTTGTCATAATATACATGTATACAGAATAGCAAAAATGTTTATTACTTAAAATATTATTTACTTTGCATCAGCTCAAATAATACCTATATACAATGCAAAGCTATAAAGCATAGATTTGAACTCTTCGTTTACTTGATGTGAAAAGATCAAAATATGTATAAAAAGTCAAATCAGCTGACATTAATGATTTATACTCTCAGTTATTTGTATTTAAATGAGTATGAAACATTACAAATGAAATAGATCCATTAACTATCTACCATATCCTTATAAACAAACGGATGAATTTATTTATTTACAACTTGGAAATAAAATGCCATCAAAAAAATGATAGGATATTCTATGAGGTTTAAAATGTGATGACAACAATGATGAAAAACTACAAATAAAAATAGTATAAGTGTCCTTATACCACAAAAAAAATATATTCAAACATAATATTAATTATTATAATACTATGATAGTACTGGAAATAAATTTCTCTAATTTATCATCGGTTGACATGCCTTGCATATGTCTGCAAAATCTTCGCATAAATTCCCCCATTAGTGACTATAATTCTTAATTATGTATATGATAACAGAATAACAAAGTTGATTTGTTGTTACTCATTGTTTGTTGCAATTCACATTGGAAAAAAAAATACTTCCATTAATTGCCATGTAAGTTTACATTGGGAACTTACTAGATGACATTACATGTTGCACAAAAATTTACAAGTGACATTCATAGCTGAAGTTTACATTAGAAACATAATGGCTGACATTGCACAAAAACTTACATTGCACTGGAATTATAATGGCTCATATTTCATGTTGCCAAAATTAACATGGGCAATAACATCACACCTTTTTGGAACAAATTTACTTTGGAAACAATATGACTGATATTAATTGTTGGAGAAGTTTTCTTTATTAACACAATAGCAGATATTGACAGTTGCACATGTTTGTAATGGAAATAAAATGACAGATATTGATTGCTGCACACAATTTACATTGGAAACAAAATGATTGCATGTTGCAAAATTTCACAATGGCAATACATTGCCTTACACTGCATGTTGCACAAGTTCACAATGAAAACAAAATGGCTCAAATTGCAAGTTGCACAAGTTGACAATAGAAACAAAATGGCTCAAATCCTATGTTGCACAAGTTCACAATGGAAACAAAATGGCTCAAATTGCAAGTTGCACAAGTTAACAATAGAAACAAAATGGCTAAAATTGTATGTTGCACAAGTTCACAAGGAAACAAAATGGCTCAAATTGCAAGTTTCACAAGTTAACAATAGAAACAAAATGGCTTAAATAGTATGTTGCACAAGTTCACAATTGAAACAAAATAGGTCAAATTGAATGTTACACAAGTTCACAATGAAAACAAAATGACTCAAGTTGCATAAGTTCATAATGGAAACAAAATGGCTCAAATTGCATGTTGCACAAGTTCACACTGGAAACAAAATGGCTCGAATTGAATGTAAAACAAGTTCACTATGAAAACAAAATAGCTCAAGTTGCATAAGTTCATAATGGAAACAAAATGGCTCAAATTGCATGTTGCACAAGTTCACACTGGAAACAAAATGGCTCAACTTGAATGTTGCACAAATTCACAAGGGAAATAAAATGGTTTAAACTGCATGTTGCATAAGTTCACAATGGAAACAAAATTGGTTTAAATTGCATGTTGCACAAATTCACAATGGAAACAAAATGGTTTAAATTGCATGTTGCACAAATTCACAATGGAAACAAAATGGTTTAAGTTTACATGTTGCATAAAGTTCAAATTTGAAACAAAATTGCTGACATTGTTTGCTGCAAAAAATTTACTTTCAATATTAGTTGTCCAGTACAATACACTATACTTTAGAAACAATATGGTTTATATTACTTGTTGCACATTTTCAAATTGGAAACAAAATGGGATTTATTGAGTGTTGCACAAAGTTGTATTTGAAATCAAATGGCATGGTTGACTTCCTTTCATTAGTTCATTTATTACATGCATTTGAATAATAATTATTCATGAAAAGTATTTTTTTTCCTTTCATTGTTTATAGAAATAATTAACAAGAGCACCGCTAGGCGGAGCATTATATGCCCGAAAGTGTTTTTTTTTCTTTACTAAGGATGAAGCATTTGTAAGACATTACATAAATTAAATAAAGTATTACCTCCTTCAAATAGCAATTCTCCTATAAAGTTTGAATATTGTGGGCCAAATGGAACTTCAGTTATGCTCTGGAAACTGTTTTTAGTTTTGAGGTAATAGCTACCTTGAACTTTGACCTTGTGACCCCAAAATCAATAGGGGTGTTCTACCCAATATGGACAATCATCCTATAAAGTTTCAACACTATGGGCCAAATAGAAATTAAATTATGTTCTGGACACTGTTTTCTGTTTTAAAGTAATAGTGACCTTGACCTTTGACATTGTAACCCCAAAATCAATAGGGGTATTCTACCCAATATGGACAATCATCCTATGAAGTTTGAATATTGTGGGACAAATAGACCTTAAGTTATGCTCTGGAAACTGTTTTCAGTTTTAAAGTAATAGGGACCTTGACCTTTGACTGTGTGACCCCAAAATCAATAAGGGTCTCCTACCCAATATGGACAATCATTCTATGAAGTTTGAACACTGTGGGCCAAATAGAACTTAATTTACGTTCCGGAAACTGTTTTCAGTTTTAAGGTTATAGTGACCTTAACCTTTGACCTTGTGACAAAAAAATCTATAGGGGTCTTCTACCCAATATGGACAATCATCCATTGAAGTTTGAATACTGTGGGCCACATGGAACTTAAGTTATGCTCCAGAAACTGTTTTCATTTTTAAAGTAATAATGAGCTTGACCTTTAACCTTGTGACCCCAAAATCAATAGGGGTCTTCTACCCAATGTGGACAATCATCCTATGAAGTTTGAACACTGTCGGCCAAATGGCACTTAAGTTATGCTCCGCAAACTGTTTTCAGTTTTAAGGTGATAGTGACCTTGACCTTTGACCTTGTGACCCCAAAATCAATAGGGGTCTTCTACCCAATATGGACAATCATCCTATGAAGTTTGAATACTGTGGGCCACATGGAACTTAAGTTATGCTCCGGAAACTGTTTTCAGTTTAAAAGTAATAATGACCTTGACCTTTGACCTTGTAACCCCAAAATCAATAGGGGTCTTCTATGCAATATTGACAATCATCCTATGAAGTTTGAACACTGTCAGCCAAATGGAACTTAAGTTATGCTCGGGAAACTGTTCTCAGTTTTAAGGTGATAGTGACCTTGACCTTTGACCTTGTGACCCCAAAATCAATAGGGGTCTTCTACCCAATATTGACAATCATCCTATGAAGTTTGAATGTTGTGGGCCAAATGGAACTTAAGTTATGCTCCTGAAACCAAATTGCTAACAGACGAACGGACGGACGTTCTAACAGGAGAGTAATTATGTGGCTACTCTATTGTTCTCTCTATTGTTCTTATTAGCCACACAAAAGAAAATAGCCACATAAAAGCATTACGGAATGAATGACATCAAAGAGAAAGTACAGTTACCTATTGTCCCTCTAGCCACATAATTACTCTCCTGTGAGTGCGGACAGACGGACGGATGGACGCCAGGGGGTATAACATAATATGCCTGAAATTCTTTCGGGCATATAAAAAGATAATCATCATCACTATCATAATTAGAAAACAATCACTTCCACATGTTTCACTCATGACAATATACAGCAACATTTTAATACATTGATCAATAAACAAACATTTAAGATATAACCACCCTAATCAGCAAAGTTCAAAAGTTTGTCTCTAAGTTTGATTGTATTATATTTTTATATTAAACTGTATTCTGTACTTAAATGACTAACTTGTTTGATTATCAATAACTTCACATTTAAATTTTGGAACAGTTAGTGTAAGTGAGTATTCATTTTTATTCAAATACATGTAATTAAACCAGACCATTAGTAGCCAATTAGAAATTAATTGACAGCAGTCTATAATATGAAACAATATAGAATGTGCTATATGAGAATTCTTCCACCAAATTATAATGTAATACATAGAGTTATAGTTCCCACATGCCTATAATGTCAAACATACTCTAAAAACATGACTATGTGAAGAAATAAATGAAAATTATTATTCAAGCAAGATTTTCTCATCATTAAATATAAAAGATATAGCATATATTAACATGGTTTGCTTTTCATGCCTATCCATAGTTAAACAAAGCAGAAGAACAAAAATGTATAATTTATCTAAAATGCACAATAAATGAAGAACTGAGTCATGAATAAAAATGTATATAAACCTAATATCATTAAACCTTCTATGCAAAAACACATGAACTATATCTAATTTTTTTTATATTTCTTTTAGTAGTTAATTGGCTCTTTATGTGATATCACATGATGCAAGATGAAAACAAGAAATATCTGTAGAGTATGATGGTCTTATCTACATAAAAATAATGCTAATGCTTTCTTGCATTTATATTATAAAATAAAATGCATGTTACTCTTAGTACCCAAAACATAAAACATATACACAATACAATGAGGAATAAAAAACAAGGAAAAAACAACTACATACAAAACAGGACTCCAAGTACAAAGTGCATTGCAACACAAGAAAACTTTACAAATAAACATAGAACAGATAAAATCATATCAAACCTATGAAATTAATGGACAAAGCCAATTCTTCTGAAAAGGTAAATGTTAGTTACACATATAAGCAATTGCATTCTACATGATTAAATCACATATGTGACTTGAGTAATTAAAATGTTTTGGTAATATTTCCAAAAATGAAGCTTTTATACTTTTATACTAAATCCTATGATATTTTTTCTTTCTGCTGTGATGGATTCCCTTTTGGATTATCCTATAACGTGGCTCAATGTAATAAACTCCCTTATAATCTAACTGTATTTGATGGATTTCCAAATACCGAGGCACTATTTGATGAACTCCCTCTATAATGTACCTCCATCTGATGAATCCTCTTATAATGTGGTTATATCTGAGGTACTCCCTATGCTTTGGACACCCCTAAAATGTGCCATTGTGTGAGGCAGTCCCCTATAATGTGGCACATATATGTGACAGACTCCAATGTGACTGATATGATAAACTCCCCTATAATGTGGCTCTTTGTGATGGACTTCAATATAAAATGGCCATTTGTTCCCCTATCAAATGTTACTATGTGACTCAATCTAAAAGACTCCCCTGTAATGTGACTCCCCTATAATGTGGATCTATGTGATGGACTCCCCTATAATGTGACTCTAAGTGATGGACTCCCCTATAATGTGACTCTTAGTGATGGACTCCCCTATAATGTGACTCTAAGTGATAGACTCCCCTATATTGTGACTCTATCTAAAGGACTCCCCTATAATGTGACTTTAAGTGATGGACTCCCCTATAATGTGACTTTAAGTGATGAACTCCCCTATAATGTGACTTTAGGTGAGGGACTCCCCTATAATGTGACTCTAAGTTATGGACTCCCCTATAATGTGACTCCATCTAAAGGACTTCCCTATAATGTCACTCTAAGTGATGGACTCCCCTATAATGTGGCTCTATGTGAAAGAATGACTCCCCTAAAATGTGACTCTTTGAAATGGATTTCCTTACAATCTGACTTTGTGAAGGACTCCCATATAATCTGACTCTCTGTGATGTACTTCCCTCTAACTATGACTGTGATGTACACACTTGTTGGTCTAATATGTGATGGACTCCCAGATAATGAAGCAGTACTTGAAAGAGTGCCATGAAATAAGGCTCCTTGTGATGGACTCCGAAATAATTTAGCAGTATATGTTAGACTCAACTATAATGATTATCAGGAATGCAGGTCAGACATTCTTCTGTTAACAATTAATTCATGTTAAATTGTTAGTATAGAAACAAAACTGGTTAATACATGTAGCAATTATAGGGAAATGTTTACAAGCAAAAACTAAAAAACATGTATATAGATATATATTCAGGGGTCTATGCATGGAACAGGTCACTAACTAAAGGGCTTTGATATATTTATAAAATATGGAACATACATGTAAACATACAAACAGTTGATGACAATAATATCAGTAATAGTGATGGGTGCTTCCTGACACAACTTTGACACAGGTAATGAACATTGACAAACTATGAAGGAAAGTGTTAAAGTTCATTTCTTGCATAGACAATATTGTCCTGAACTCCAATGACCTCAACCCTTTCCTGAAGGTAGAGGTCAGTGCAAGGTATTTATAATTGTGTATCAGAATTCAGCCTATAATTGAAGGCTCCACATGGAAAAATAGAAACAATATTTTTAGCTTCAGTGACCTTGACCTTGGTTATACCAATTATCTATGATATGTATGTAATATATCAGTTAATTAAGGTGCTATGAGAAATAGTAACTATGTTACAGAAGGACCAGTTGATGGACAAACAAAGAACTACAAATGCCCCCAAAAATCCTTTGGGAGAGCATACAAACATTATAGTATCTGTAGATAAACAAAATCCTAAAAAAATCCATTAAATAAATTTTGTTTATCAATTTATCATGACAGTCAAGATTTTGTATCATAATATAATTTTTTGGAGAATGCATATTTATAGAAGCTGATTTCTGCAGATCACATTACAAAAGTAATTCAGTCTGCAAAACTGATTATTCTTGGTATCATAATTATTAAAGTATTAAAATTTGCATGAAATGGTTTATTCATGGAAAAAAAACAATATTCATATCATTGTCACAGTTAAGACTTCATTCTTGTAAAACAATCTAAAGAATGATTTTCACTGTGACATTGTTAAAACTTACACTATAAGTTTGAATAGTTATGCTCAGTCAAATGAAACCTAGTCCTTTCACTCCAAGGGAAGTGTGGGGGACAGTGGGGGAAAATGACTGTGCAGGGATTTTGTTTTATCACAAAAATAGTGAAGAATAGCCTCACCTGTAGATACAGGGCAATGAGGGGGGTGATAACTTAACAGAGATTTTACCAACCGAATATCTCAGCAGAGCAAGACCTTTTACCAAGGATTTAAAACTTTAACCCAAAAGTCCACACTATTCCCAGATGCTGGTGGAGCTAGGCTTACAAATGACTGATGCATTACAACAGCTGAGTACGGAACACTCAATTAGTGTTTTATTTCGTTTTTAAATTGTATTTTCTAGTTCGTTTAAGTTTACCTGTTGGGTAGCTCAAGTCTCCAGTGCTTTCTAGATCAATCTGAGCCTCGAGGGACAGACTGTCAAATCTAGCCAAGAAGAATTCCCAGCTAAGTATATTGTGTTCTGGTAGGATATTGGAGAGGAGATGCATGTTGTGTAGAATCATAGCTCTATCACTGATTACAGCATCAAATTGAAACTCCAGACACTGACAGATACACTGTAAAACAACAATAATAATAAATTCACCACAATGCAGAAAAACATAAATGGCTACTGACATATCATATTCTGTACAATGATGTGAGATTTCAGGCCTATTAAATACCAGATACCTAAAAATTAACCTCAGTACTCCTTTTGCTTTTTGGTCCTTCGTAAAGTTAATGTGATAAGTATTTTTTATGGAAGACAAAATACCACTTTGTTTTAATTTTGTTATTTTCCACATTAAAAAACAAGAGGGCCATGATGGCCCTGAGGTCGCTCACCTGTATATAGCCCCCCAACACCCATAAGAAGATGTTTCATGCTAAACATCTAAGCTCTAGCTCATTGGGCTTTTTAAAAGAAGATTTTTTTAAGTTTTTACTATACACATATAGTTAAAAACAATGACACCCCTGGGGCGGGGCCAGTTTTGACCCCAGGGCTTTTATTTGAACAAACTTTGTAGACACTTACTAGAAGATGTTTCATGCTTAATATCTAAACTCTAGCTATTTGGGTTTTTTCAAAGAAGATTTTAAGTTTTTGCTATACACATATAAGGAAAATCAATGACCCCCGGGGCGGGGCCAATTTTGACCCCAGGGCTTTTATTTGAACAAACTTTGTATACATCACTAGACGATGTTTCATGCTTAATATCTAAACTCTAGCTATTTGGGTTTTTTCAAAGAAGATTTTTTAAGTTTTTGCTATACACATATAAGGAAAATCAATGACCCCCGGGGCGGGGCCAATTTTGACCCCAGGGCTTTATTTGAACAAACTTGGTAGACACCTATTAGAACATGTTTGATGCTAAATATCTTAGCTCTAGCTCTTTGAGTTCTTTAAAAGAAGATTTTTTAAGTTTTTACTATATGCATATAGGGAAAATCAATGACCCCCTGGGGCGTGGCCAATTTTGACCCCAGGGCTTTTATTTGAACAAACTTGGTAGACACTCATAAGAAGATGTTTCATGCTAAACATCTAAGCTCTAGCTCATTGGGCTTTTTAAAAGAAGATTTTTTTAAGTTTTTACTATACACATATAGTTAAAAACAATGACACCCCTGGGGCTGGGCCAGTTTTGACCCCAGGGCTTTTATTTGAACAAACTTTGTAGACACTTACTAGAAGATGTTTCATGCTTAATATCTAAACTCTAGCTATTTGGGTTTATTCAAAGAAGATTTTAAGTTTATGCTATACACATATAAGGAAAATCAATGACCCCCGGGGCGGGGCCAATTTTGACCCCAGGTCTTTTATTTGAACAAACTTTGTAGACACTTACTGGAAGAAGTTGCATGCTTAATATCTAAACTCTAGCTATTTGGGTTTTTTCAAAGAAGACTTTTTAAGTTTTTGCTATACACATATAAGGAAAATCAATGACCCCCGGGGCGGGGCCAATTTTTACCCCAGGGCTTTTATTTGAACAAACTTGGTAGACACCTATTAGAACATGTTTGATGCTAAATATCTTAGCTCTAGCTCTTTGAGTTCTTTAAAAGAAGATTTTTTAAGTTTTTACTATATGCATATAGGGAAAATCAATGACCCCCTGGGGCGGGGCCAATTTTGACCCCAGGGCTTTTATTTGAACAAACTTGGTAGACACTCATTAAAACATGTTTCATGTTAAATATCTTAGCTCTAGCTCTTTGGGTTCTTTAAAAGAAGATTTTTTAAGTTTTTACTATATGCATATAGGGAAAATCAATGACCCCCTGGGGCGGGGCCAATTTTGACCCGGGGGATTTTATTTGAACAAACTTGGTAGACACTCACTAGAAGATGTTTCATGCCAAATATCTAAGCTATAGCTCTTAGGGTTTTTTAAAAGAAGATATTTAAAGTTTTTTTCTTTCGGTTGCCATGGCAACCAGAGTTCTGCATGGAATTAAATTCTTTGAACAATTTTTAAAGGTGACCACCAAAGGAACATTCCTGTGAAGTTTGGATGAAATTGGCCTAGTGGTTTATGAGGAGATGTCATTTAAAGTAAAAGTTTACGGACGACGGACGGACGCCGGACGAAAAGCGATCACAAAAGCTCACCCTGTCACTTTGTGACAGGTGAGCTAAAAAACTACTATTATTATACATTGTAATTATAAAAATCTTTTATTTATAGAATACACTTTAATTCTGAGTATACTTTTATCCTTTGCTGATTTTTCCACTTTAAATGGTTTTTCAAAAATTTCAAATTTTATATTTTTATGCTTTTTGACCTTAGTAGAGCTCCTTTAAAGAAGGAAATCATACATTACATTTGTATTTTGTGTACAAACTTGTTACATTACATATAAAACTTGGCTGATGACATTACCTTGATAGAACTGGCCTTGATGGTTTCTAGGTATTGTATAGCTCTCTGACTGACAGCAGCATTAATATCCTCTAGTGACCCCAGTAACAGACAAAATATGTGGGCAAATGCTGTTTTAATTGTCTTGTTATGCATCACTGAATCACTCTCCATGAATCTTGCTAGAACTGTCGCTTTCTCAACTGTATACAATAAAATAAATATACAATAAAATAGATAACTATGTGAAAACAGATGCCACTAAGTTTTTGATAGCTCTCAGTATTCAATATAAACTGTGATCACTCATTGTATTAAACTTTAAGTTAAAAAACCAGATAGAGAGACAGACTGCACAATTGCGCAAAAAGGCCAAGCTCTATAATGGTTGCACAGGGGTGCTCATTAGTACTGCAGACATGCACTCCTGCATGTAATACAATATTATAAGAATTCAACATGAATCTTACCTGCAGCAAATCTTTCTTTCCAGTCATCACTACTAAAGTTTTCCTCCACAATTTTCCACAGCATGTCAGCCCCTGTGGGTAGTGTCAGACAATGTAACATTAGTGGGACACACTCGGCCGCCACCTGTGAGTGCTTGGCTTGTAACTTATGCCATAAACTGAAACAGTCACAATATAAATACAACCATTCTTAGCAAAACTGAGAGAACACATGATCATATACTTGATAAACTGTATAGATTTCATAAATTAAAAAGATAATTTTAAGTGGGACTGTCCCACATAGATTCTTAGCATAAGAGGGATTAACAATGACTTTTTGTTATAAGCATGATATTTATTTTTTTCATATTTTTATCAACACTTTTATACATGCCTTGCACTGAAGTGGTGAAACAACTGATACTTAAAATCATGGTATCATATTCATTATAAAAGGACAAATTTGATGGGAAATTCAGTTAAACTTACTTTGGTAGAAGCTTCCTGGCTAGACAGAATTTGAGGAATTCTGGGTATTGGTTGACAGAGTAGTTGAGACATTCACCATGCAGTATAAGATAATTCATTGACAATAGTAGTGAGTGAAGAGCATCTATGTCCTTCAATGTGGTAAACTCCTATAAATATACAAAAAAAATATGCTAGAAATATATTTAACATATTAAACAAAGTCAAGTACTATTTAATTCATCAAAGTTGATTCACGTATAAATGTTTTCTACCTGTAGTGTACTGCAAATCTGAACAAGAATGTCGAACGACACATATACCCCCCCCCTTTCTAGCCATTGACTCACATAATTGGTAATTTTATTAAAGAAACTTGCCAAAAATGGGTACATGGAAGTGTTCAATTATGGAAAAATCAATGGAAACCATTTTGACATTTAAGGCCCATGTGACATTGACATTTGACCTAATGACCCCTAAATCAATAGAGGTCATCTTATACTTATGACCAATAACTAGGTGAAATATGAAGACTTTGTGATGAATACTTTTCAAGATAATCAGTGGAAACCCTTTTGACATTTAAGGCCCCTGTGACCTTGACCTTTGACCTAGTGACCCCAAAATCAATAGGGGTCATCTACTAGTGATGACCAATCACTATGTGAAATATGAAGACTTTGTGATGAATACTTTTCAGGATAATCAGCGGAAACCATTTTCACATTTTAAAGTCCCTGTGACCTTGACCTTTGACCTAGTGACCCCAAAATCAATAGGGGTCATTTACTAGTGATGACCAATCACTATGTAAAATATGAAAACTTTGTGATACATACTTTTCAAGATAATCAGCAGAAACCATTTTCAAATTTAAGGCTCTGTGACCTTGACCTTTGACCTAGTGACCCCAAAATCAATAGGAGTCATCTACTAGTTATGACCAATCACTATGTGAAATATGAAGACTTTGTGATAAATTCTTTTTAAGATAATCAGCAGAAATTATTTTCACATTTTAAGGTCCCTGTGACATTGACCTTTGACCTAGTGACCCAAAATCAAAAGGGGTCATCTACTAGTTATGACCAATCACTGTGTGAAATATTAAGACTTTGTGATACATACTTTTTAAGATAATCAGCGGAAACCATTTTGACATTTAAGGTCCCTGTGACCTTGACCTTTGACCTAGTGACCCCAAAATCAATAGGGGTCATCTACTAGTTATGACCAATAACTGTGTGAAATATTTAGACTTTGTGATACATACTTTTTAAGATAATCAGCGGAAACCATTTTGACATTTAAGGTCCCTGTGACCTTGACCTTTGACCTAGTGACCCCAAAATCAATAGGGGTAATCTACTAGTTATGACCAATCACTATGTGAAATATGAAGACTTTGTGATAAATTCTTTTCAAGATAATCAGCGGAAACCATGTGGTCTACCGACGGACAGACCGACAGACGGACCGACAGACAGACAGACAGACCGACATTAGCAAAACAATATACCCCCTCTTCTTCGAAGGGGGGCATAATAAGCAGCAACTGGTACACAAATTTGATCCCTATGTTCAAATAATTAAATATGATTTAAAAGATACTTGAAAAACCTCTTTTATGAATGACTTTTTTAAGGTCAATACCAATATTGTAAGGAAAATGGGAAAAAAATCTTGAAATCATATAAGACTAGATACACAACAACATATATATTAACCTGTGTAAGTGCATTGAAGAGTTGAAGGTGAATGGGCATCTGTGAGGTGTCATAACAAACATCCGGTATCTCTAAACTTCCACATACATCACGTGTCTCACCACCTTAATATAACAAACTACATCATATGTCTTACTACCTTAATATATAACAAATTCAACTTCATAGTTAAACATAGCTTTGTTTTTTTATTTAAACATACATATATGAGAATACAAGTGACTTCAATCAAAGCAAGTTTTGAAACAAACCAGGTTGTATAACAGTGTAATCTGTTACACAGTTTTGACTGAAATCATGTAATTTCATTTTATGTGCATTACATATATATCTTATATATGTCTATAAATGTACATAATGTTTTTTAAAGATTTGTCTGCAAAATCACACTTTCTCTCAACCTTTAAACAAGCTCAAAATTTCATATTTGTTGATACAAATTTTCGCTTAACAATACTAGTAGATGTAAGAACTTAAAAAAATAAACATTATCTCTTCATAAAATATAGAGGCTAAAGAACTTGTCATTATTTTCCTTCAGAAACTTCCAAGTTTTAGTTAAATTCATAACATAATCATACAACTAATATCAAAACAGCTTCATATGAAACCCTTTCAGCACACATTAAATGGGATTATACTATGTTTTATCGTTCAAATCAAGTTTTTCATCCGTTTCTGAATCCATACTTAATGTAAAGAAAGACTTACTGGAAGAAGAATCTTTGCTTGCAGCCACAGAGCCTGACAAATCCTCAACTCTTGGTATGTCTTTATTGGGTATCTTACATGGGTCTCTTGGACTGAATAGTTGCATGACGTTGCTTGCCATCTGATGCCACAGAGCTATATTCTGACAAAACTGACAATTGACGGTTTCCTTGTCCTCCACGCAGGTGTGGGTACCGTCCCATTGTTTAGACAGCATAGTTGTTAACAAGGACATAAGCTCTTTACTTGTCTCATTATAAATACCTAGATGTCTAGGGCTCTCTTGTAACTCAAGCTACAAATAAAAAAAAAAAATTGTTCAATATTCTTTATGGTATATCTAAACAAAATACTTCAATGTTACATATTGAAATAAATGTAATTTAAATTCATTTATTATATATGAAGTGATAACAAATTATTTTATTATTAATACTTGTATAATAAATATATGTGACAAAATCAGTATTTACACATGTTGCTCCCCTTCCACTTTTTTTCTAATCTAGTTTTAAAGTTAATTAAAATTTATCACATACCAGAACAGCTTTTACGACTTCGCAAAAAAGGTATGACCCAGCCATACATATATTATGATGAGACATCATAGCATGGAAGCATTCTTAACATTAACATTTGTCATTACACTAAATAGGCATGTCAATGAAATTTTTTTCCAAATTTGTTTTTCTATCTCTGAACAGTTCTATTTCAGGTATGTAATAAATAGAATGTCAAATTTGTGTAGTTTCCTTATGTAACTATGATTCTAAATTTAATATCATGCTCACCAGACGCTAACATTATATAATTTTATGTCACTTGTTCAATAAATACAGTATCAAACCTACAATCATTCAATATATACAAGATTTTTCTTACATTTAGAATGTGACTTATTTACACTCACTTGTTTAAGAGCTAGATCCATCATCATTATATAGCATGGTAGAATAATTTCTGTCTCTCTTTCATAGATCTCAAAACTTTCTACAACTATCGGATCTTCTTTGTTTGGGCTCAGAGGAGGTGGTATATCACCTGTGGGTGAAGCCCGGGCAAGATTGGGCTCAGGGGCCTCAGTTTCATGGTCCATATCAATCATCTGTAGATGTTTTACGCCTAGCTTTACCATGGAGAAGAGGGTATGAAGGGGTATAACTATCTCTAGACCAGATAAAATCTGTAAATAGGACGATTTACAATGTATCTAACAAGAATAAATATACAAATAGAAACTGAAACAAAAGAAATCCCCCATCAAAATACGACTGAAGACTAACGATTTATTTTCCCATCTAAAGGCATGAAATTTTAACATAATTCAAGAATAAGAATGAAAATATGAAAAATATAAATTTCTGTTTCAAAGCTTAAAATATTTTAATTCAAATTTGTTCCTGTACAGTATGAGTAATCTTTGCAGTCCCACCATACTCTATTGATAGTTGCTCAATTTGAAGTACTGAAATCCCTTAAACAAATAATGGACTGTTCAAAAGTCAGTCAATGGCTAGACCATTACACACATATGGTGGTGGTAGTGATCACACTAAATTTACCAGAGCACAGTTCAGTCACCGCAAGTAGGTAAGCATTCACTTTCGCAATGAATTGATTTACTTCTGTACATGCCAGAGCTGAAGTACAGTGTGATTGATCCTAAAGAAAGGATTTTGTGATTAATCACAACAAAAGTGACCTGCACTGTCTAGGAATCAAATCCAGGTCACATGATTCACAGTCCAACATTCTCCCTATTAAGCTAACCGGATGACTCCTTACACAAATACTGCAGGGTAAAGGTTATAAATAAATCATCATATTACCTGTAACCACTGTAGAGCTTGTTCTTGTACATATGCACTGGCATCAGCAAATCTCACCTCAACAAAATGGTACATCTTGTCCAACATAAATGGTAGAGGACACATATCTATGTCAAATGCTTTACTGAAATATATCAAAAATGTTTCTTTGGTTTGAGTGACTATAGCTTATTTGCCACAGAGATGAAATATTTCAAATGATAGTTTTCTTATAAGCCTGTTCTAGTGTGACAAAGAAGTTTTCAATTCTGTTACATATAGTCCATTTTCATGAAAAATAAAGAAACTTTTTTACTTTATGCTTTATTATTTCAGGTTTCAAATATTTATTATTTACATTTGACCACCAGATTAACAAAAAATCATGTTTAAGTGTGTGCGGATAACTGCTTAAAAGGAAAATGATATTTTAACTGACATAAAAAATATCTTAATTACAAAGCAATATTCTCAAAATATACAAGACTGTGTACTTCAGAAAAGAATGACATCATCTTCACATAGCAATAATGACTTATCTTGCAAGAAATATAAAAATAATATTGCATCAAATCATCTACCAACCTTAGTAGAACTTTAAGCAGGTGAAGATCTTCTGTGGGCACCTCAGTTCTGATAGCTTCCATCCAGTATGGTATAACATAGTCCCAAATCTAGCAAAACATTTGTTTAAATACAATAGAGAGTAAAAAAGCAAATTGTAACTTTCAATTATTCTTTTAAAGTTTCAGCAATACTATAAACGGTTCGGTAATAATATTTTTAAATTACTTAAAAGACCCTTGAGGCCCCTATAAAATACATTGTATTTATCAATGGAAAATTTATACTACTATTTTGTAGAACTGTCAACTTAAGTTTTGCTATATGGATAGCCTCAATGATGAAAGATTTTTATGTCCCTCGTGAAACTTAAACATATCATTGAAGATCACTCAAGAGATTTAAAAAAATGTTTTTTCACAAATTAGCATCTGCAGATTTCTAAAATTCCAACCTAGGAATAACATTTAACAAATAACAACATTTAACAAATGTAACTTTCCTCATCATGCATGTTTTACATGATACATGAAGTAATAAATATACCTGATATGAGATGATATCATAGGGGACCAAACAGAAGAAGCAGTTTAGACCTTCCTTGATCTGAGTGGTTCGTGTTGCTAATGTGTCCCTATAATAGAAACACATCTTACTTCAGAATAAAACCAATTGCCACACTGAACTTTTATGGTTTGTTTAAAATAAACTTTAAACTACAGCAAAACAATGTATGAGCTTTGAAACAATGAGGTTTAATACAGAAAAACTTGAATGAAACCTTTGATCTTTAGAATTACTATGTGTATATATTTTATATAATTTATGTTCTTTAAACTGCTATAAAATCTTAATCCTAAGAATTTTTATGAAGGATTACTTGAATTAACAAAGGTTTATATATTCATATACATGGAATGTAAAATTGCACATTTAATCGAAGGATAGATAATTCTGTTTTACAGGTAAAGTAATTATTTACTAGACAAAAATACTATAAAAATAAAGAGTTTTGCTTTTTTTAATTGAAATGATTTAAGAAGATTGCATTTTAATGATGAATACTGAATACACAACAGAATAGATTAAACTTCTTTATAACAATGTTGTGTTGCATATTTACCAGAAACCTCCAACTCTAGCATATTCCACTGGGTGGGGTAACAAACAGGAAACCACAACTTCAAAGTGTGTCTTGTTTACTTCTTTTAACCATTTACAGATGTACTAGAAATGGACAAAATAAAATATTTATTATTTTACCCTAACCCTGCAGAAATTGAAAAAAGCAGTCTGACCGGCTTGAATACAGTTGGTAGCTTGCAAATTCATAGGTTGAGTGTTAAAATACTAAACCTTTTGAGACCAAGCAACATTACTGAGAAAAAGACATATGCATCAAATATAAAACAAGGCCCAGCTTTAAAATATTGGCTCGTCAAATTTAAGATTTTGATATTAAATTTCCCTTAAACTACTCACTGTCTGTTCTGAATTCACAGAAAGGCATGTCCTTTACATAAATTTAGTAATATAAGGTTAATCACGTACTGTTCTAAAAAAATATTTCTAAACTCAAACCGACTTCAAAAATAACTCTTAGCAAAAAGCATTTACTGCATTCAAAGAGAATTATACCCAACAACCCTAAGTTAAGGGGGAGGGATGCATAAAAACAGATACAAGAATCAGCTTACCTCTGGTTTTAACCTCTCTAAAGCATTGCCAACATTATCTGAAACACATACTTACAATATCACATATCATGTTCTATCAATGAAGTATATAAACATTTTAATATTTTCTGTTTTCTTTTATATATATGGATAAAACAAATTGTCTTCAACAACTTCAACAAACTAACTAAAACACTACCCAGAAAATGTTATATAGATCTATATAATATCACAGAAAGCAAACAGAGAAAAAAAAATATTTCACTGACCAGCAGCATCTGAGTATAGTCATAGTAAAATTGAAAGGCAATACGATGTCATGTACAGTACGCTCAGCGCGAATTTTGCAAAACACGTGTGTCCCCGCGGATGTGGCTCATCGCGGACGTAAATATGCTCAAATATTGTCCGCGTGACCCCGCGGACAGAAAATTTTCACCACCGCGGACATAAATCTACAGCGGTAAGCGTTTCCCCCGCGGAACACTGCCGTTAATTGCGGGGGAACATGGTGGTCAATCACCGTGTACCGCGATGGTATTCATCGTGAAAAGGGTTATATTTTACAAGTATTTTATGGAACTTGTTAAAACTTTATGAAATAGATGTAATCGTACAGTAAAGAATTTATATTAGAGTCTACTAAAATAAATCATTTGCCTTTATTTTCCATTTCCGAATGTTTTTGGACTTTATTTAAAGAGGCAACATAGTTAGGCAAGCCCAGTCTTCCCTATGAGTAAAGTTGATATTTTCTTTAAAAAACTGCCAGTTTTTTTAACGACACTATATATTCATATTGTGATAGTGTGTAGAGCGTTAAATATGACATATCAACTTTTTGTGAAGTCAAAACATGTTTATTTCATATTTACAAAGAGACTGTGTAGCAATTATCAATATTTTCTGATATCAAATTTGAGCATAGTATATCTTTACATATGCATGTAGAAGAAAAAAAATTCTATCAACCAACTATCTTTATTTCATCAAACATTGTAAAAATGAGGGAACGCTGTTTTATTTTTGTAGAAAGATGTGTTTTCCGTTGGCTAATAAATTTGGTAGATTGACGGGTAAAATTTCTAAACTCTATTGATATTTCATCGTATATTGTAAAAATTTGGGGTGCTGTTATTTTTGTTGCAAGACATGAAATAAACATGGAGATGTAGTAAGAAATGTACAGTTAAAATTCAAAACTGTATAATGTTGGTCCTAAACCAAAGAAATATCTTTTATATCAAAGAAAAGGCATCCTCAGTAATCCAGGCCGTATACCGGTATCGGTTTTAAAAAAGTATTTACGGATAGTGAACCGTGGCTTCTGACGATGAGAAAATAAATATCATCTTAAAATTATTTTAAAAATGCAAGAGCTGTGTATAAATTCTTTATTCTCATTTTGAAATAAAAGCACGTCCACGGTCGTAGACTAAGTTTGTTTTTTTTAGATTTACTTGTTTTGCCCCCTGCTTTACCCCGCGAAACACGGATGACTGATTTTAACGATAATATGACTGCAATCGTCAGTTTCTGGTCCGCGGTGGAAACAACTTGACACTGTGGATCGCGGGGGAAATTAGTGTTTTTATCGCGGAACTCCACCGCGTTTGTCCGTGTTAGAAAAATTTGTCCGCGGTGGTATCGCGGAAAGGCAAAATCCACGCTGAGCGTACTGTACATGTATCTATAATTAACTTAAGATGCAGGTGAGTACAAGCCTAGTGGTAATGATGTCTGCCACTCAACCAAGAACCAGTTGGTTCGAGCCCTAGTGCTGTCATGACCACATTTTCTCCTATGACACCAGTACAGGGAGAAGACTTGCAAGTGATTCAAATGAACAGTAAATTATGTTCAGATTGATCAGGGTTAAACTAAACTTACCATCAGGAAGATATGCTGTCGCATCAAACCACTGGAACAACATCCCCAACAAACGTCCCAGTATCTCCTGAAATAACAACACTTTAGTGAAAAAATGATTCTTTTTTATTCATTGCAAGTTAGGGTACTTAACCATAGGGATTGAGGTCTAAGTCACTTTCACCACATAAATTAAAAAATAAGCTTAAATTTAACTACAGACTATAAATACTAACTAAAAATTCTAAAAACCAAAACTAGCACTCAAACGAGAAACAAGTCAAGATTGCTGTGTTTTGCCTGCAAGTTTTAACTTAGACCATGCATTCTACAACACCAGATGCAAAATTGATATTTTTTCTTATGCATAGGGTCTGGTCAGACTGCATGAATGTGTAGACTGGAAGCATAAACAATCATTGCCAGTAGTGTTCTAAAGGTTGACATTAACTAGCACACTTTTTCACTGTTCTGACGAAGGAATGTTAATATACTATAGGGGTACATGCAGATATCAAGAATAACATATTATCAAACTCAAACAAGATTACAAAATAAAATAAGGAGTGAGGGATAATTAAAGAAATTAAAAAAATATAACACAGACAAAAAAATACACTTACATAACAATAACAAAAATAGTCATGCATCTTGATCCTGTTAACAAATAATCTAACATACCTGAAACATTGAAAAATATCTGATCAAGCATAATTATGTCAGTTTCTTGACATGCAAAACAATAATTATACCTAGATATTTACAACAAACAATAAGGAACAAGGTTAAATGAATACACCATAATTAATGTCTCTCTATTAATGTTTTTCCACATAAACACTTAAATGACTACAGTCACTCCCATGTTGCTCCTTCTGAGCTTTTTAAATTGTTTATTTTTTCTTATCATTTATTTTCTAGTTAGCATCTAAATATAACATAATTTTCCCTAATACACAGTAATATCTAAAAAATATTTCCCCCAATGGATAGTTCCCTTTTTTACAGTATTTACCTCCCTTGCCAAAAGTGGCAGCCATTTAGGGGGTCAATATTCTATATTCAATATTATATATCATTGGAAAAAAAATATGTGAAAAAAAACAAATCAATATAAACAGCTGATTTAGGTCAATAATCAAATTCTTTAATACATATGAAGATTTTTATCAGTTTTCATGAATATGATAGAATTATTAGAGATATTTCATTTTATCTAAGGCATATAATATATTAGGAAGGCCCTCAAAATGGCTGCTAGGGGAGACAATAATTACTATGTGAAAAGCATGGATACACAATTATTATATCTATCTATTATTTTCAAAATAAGATATTGTATTGCAATGCAACAATATACATAACATCGTAAAATAATTAATAACACCACTTGTTAATCCAGCACAACAATTCCCCCCACCCCCCCCCCCCAATATGTACATGTAAGATACCAGGTTAAGACTCATATCAATTCTACAATATGAAACATGCCATGAGAAAAATATGTTGTTATACATGTATAAATCTATGCTACCTGTAAACTGCATGAAACATAATATACATCTACATGTAACATACGACTTTCATGATCAAGAGGCCTGATGTAACAAGCTATTTTACAAGAGATCATTTTTCAAACAAAAATACTGTTCTATTGATTGTTTGTTTTTCTGCTTTTTTTTTCACAAATGTTTCTTGTTATATCTTGGTGGTCAATCCATCTTTCCAGCTTTCCTAGATAACAATAACTTAATAATTCTCTGCAAGTGATATAATACTAATCCAACATGATTTCTGAATAAGCGGTGAGCGACTGATGACCATTAGACTTTATGTCCAACAGAAATTGTCAAACAGAAATTGCCTCTGCCTACATGTATATTGAACACTGTGTGTCTTGACCTGTTACTGTCAAATGATGACAAATTCTTTTCTATTCACAGCATTATAAGGGTAATTGTTATTTTTAGATAAAATATATCACTAGTCAACTTAAGAATTTTTCTTTAAAATGTGAAAATAGATACATGTATTAAATATCTCTGTAACTGTAAGCAAAATCCTCCAGAAATGTCACTTACAGACTACACTGTAACATTATATCTAATAAATATACATGCATAATTCATTACCTTAGTGCAGTAACAGAATAAGTCCTTCTAAATTTAATAGGAAATAATCAGTTATTGCACTAAAAGAGAGGATATATCACTCACAATTGGAATATCTTCCTTTGGTGTGCAGAGTTCAACCAGTAACCAGATACCATATCTGCTCAGCATTTTTCTCTCTCCGGCTTCCTCCACCTCAAATAAAACATCATCATCGCCATGACGATGTCTATGTTCCTCCCCTCCCATCTCCACTGTACGCTTAGACTCCAGTGGTTGGGCCTCTTTTAATAACCTTTTGCGAAAAAAGTATAAATGTAACGAAAATATATGTTAGAAAATTGACAGATATCATTAAATGCTATATAAATTTAGTTTAATACTTTTTATAATATTACTAAGTTTTAAGTATTAGATTTATGTCACAGGGTGAGAAAAATGTGCAGCCTGACCGGGACTCGAACCCAGGACCCTCGGAATACCGTTCCGCGGCTCTACCGACTGAGCTATCCGGCCACTTACACATCTTCTCCCCTAAATAGTGAACAGTTCTGAACCGTGACATTTATGTCAATTGGAGCTAAAAAAAAAAACCCTTAAGAACAATGCTTACAATGAGATCACACAAAATCTTTTTGCTAATTTAAGTATTAAAATTAGATGCTATTACTATAATAAAATGTATAAATAAGTAAAACCTGAAACTGCTTTGGATTTGAAACAGACCATTATAATTTCAAATATTATAAACTTATAATGAAGCATTCAGTTCTGACAAAAGTGGTGTTTGCAACAAATTATCTATTACTATAAACCAATGTTTGATATCACAATCTTTCAAAAAACAGCTGATTATTTTACAGTAAGATACATGATGAAAATTGAAACTGAAACCACTTTATAAAATTGATATTATTTTTTTTAATTATTATAAGTTCATCTATAATTACTTTGATTAATAAATGAATGAATACAGATATCTTTGATTTACATAAAAGTATATATTTCAATTTTTGTTTGTACGAAAAAATATTTCAAAAATTTGAATACAAGTATTTTTTATTTATTTGCTATTCTTTTTTTTGTTATTATTAAAGTCAGAATGCCTTACTGAAAATAAGTTAATTTATTATATACTTATAAATGAAATATTGAGAAATATTGATGAAATAAAATGCGTATTTTCATTTTCCGTATTTTCACTGTAAAAATTTATTTTTCACTGCAGTGAAACATATTTTCCGTATTTTCACTGGTGTCTTGCCGGACTACTTTCTTTTAAATTCTGCCAGTACAGGAAAATCTTTCAAATTTTAATATCAAAAAAGAGAAAAATGTATATAATAAACAGAAAATTCAAGTTTTTTCTATAAATACATGATTTATTTTCATCTTGTGGCATGAAAATTACCATATTTCACTCGTGGCTACCGCCACTCATGAAATATTTATTTTCATACCACTCAATGAAAATAAATCATGTATTTATAGAAAAAACTTGAATATCCTCTATTTATCACATAATCTGCGGCGCAGGAGTGTAATAAAGCCATTTAATAAAAAACAATATTACACTAGTGTAATAACACTTTGACGTGACGTCATTTGCGCTATATAGAAACATAGCGTAAAAGCGTGCTAATGTTTGCGTTACACTTTGGGCGCGTCATTGAAAAAATACTCATTTTAACATTTTACTGTTCTTATTTTATATATGTGATAAATAGAATATTATATTCGTGTAGATTCAATACTAAATTTATTGAACTCGTTGAATAAAACAATATTATGCTCGCCAGAGGCTCGCATAATATGATTTTATTCAACTTGTTCAATAAATTTAGTATTAAACTACACTCATTCAATATCCTCTATATATTTTATGTTAGTGTCAACATTGTTTCACTTTCTCTACAGAAAGACCTTGTTATAATTATTACTACAGCCAGTAACAATCACAGGGTGTATACATACGCAATGATAGCATCCATAAGGTATCTCTGTATCTCTGGTGTACACGACCAAATCAGCTCTATATTCTGATGGTACACATGATTCGAACCTTTCTTCCCACTGTGCCTCTCTTTATTACAGTTGTGACAGTATCGGATTGGGCGGTTACCATTCACGCTCGCACATTCAATAGAGAAACAAGTCGAGATTGCCGTGTTTGTCCGAATTGATTTACAACTCTGAAATATTTTACAAATTTTTTTTTTAAATTCTAAGAAAAATAATATAAAATTATTCTCATGGTTAAAATTGATGCTATAATGCCACTTACAAATTGTTAAAATACACCTTTCCATTGAATGAAATATGTTGTAGTGAGTGACATAATTATATGTATGGCCAATTCAACATGAAACAAAATGTAACCCAATATAATTACTCATCCAGTACTGAATATACAAATTAATAGAGTGTATATAAAGCCCTTTTTCAGTTATATCTCTACTGGTATACACATAAAATATATTAATAAATTGATCTATTCATACGCATGTATAACATATTAATAACTGGACCATTGGTATACATGTATAACATATTAATTAATTAATCTATTGGTATACACATTTAACATAATAACTTAACTTAATCTATTGGTATATACATGTACATATAACATATAAATAAGTATGCTCATAATAAATAATAACGCAACATAAAACTGGAATTTAAATTTTTTTACAGCTTTCTTTAACTTTAATAATAACAATCTTCATATCATATTTTTTAAGGAAAATAAAAAAAAGAATTTTACAGATTAAATAGGAAACAACGGTGTATGAGACCATGCTAGTTTTAATAACATGATGATTAATGTATTATTCAGGGATAGCGCGAACGCAGTCCCCACACAAATAAATTGCGTACCCGAGTAACCCACATTTGGGGCTATCGCAGACGTCAGCCCAACCGAAGTGCAATGGGAGGGCCTCTTTCTGGGGAAACCGCCTTGCAGATCACGGTGTTCCCTGTACCAGGTAAGTATGAGTTGAACACATTTTCCGAAGATTTTATACGACCACACAAAATAAAACATTACTGTCATTCGTTTATCATATACATACACTTGAATTATATCAAGTACATTAATTATACTGATTCTTTGCCTATTTTCATTATAATATCATTGAAATCCCTACAATTTCTTTTTTTTAAGTTTTAATAAAAAATCAGTACGTACAATTGTAATTTCACAATAAACAAAAAAAGATGTATTTTCATCCAATTTAAGCACTGCTAACATTTTCTTTGTTATTTCATGGTCACATTCTAAAAATAGATTGACTAACAAGGTAAGTTACTCTTGTAAAGACTAATAATCAAGTCAAACCCTAGTTACCTTCAAAGGTCGTAGACTCGTAGTACATGTATTTACAATAACACTTTACAGTGTTATACATGTTTGTTTTAACGAAAATGTAAAAGTTTATCAATTTAGTATAAAAGTTAAAATAAAATAACTTATAAAATAAAAGAAACAATGATGCATTAATTTTGTAATGTAGATTAATGTTTAAATCTCAAAGTAAACACAGTGAGTCATTATGATTAAATTAAGATTTACACAGTCTCAACTATTATTTATGCTAAAATTAAAACACTTCATATCTTGCTTATAGACAAAAAATTCTTTTTTTTATTTTTATGTCTCACAGTCTGTTTACCTTTACTGGTTTCCTAGCAGTTTCCAGGCCCCAAGTCACACTTTTTGACAAATAAAATAAAAATCAGTTTAATACTTTGAAAGAACAAAATTAGGTACCTGTCCAGAATTACCATGTTTTCGATGTTTTTTTCTTTCACTTAACATTTTAATTGGAATATAGACCTAAATGAAACACTTTTCTCACTTTTATTCCAAATTTCATAGCAGGTTTTAGGACCTTTATTATTTTGAATATAATTCAATACCAGATGATTTATCAAAGAAATAGAACTTCCCAACCTTTTCCTTGACATCTGCAAATATATTTGTCAAAAGTATTGTTATTGTACTTCGGCATTCAAACAAATTCCCCAGGTGTAAGGTGTTGCTTATTTTTAAATGTCACATGTTCTCTAAGGTAACTTTATAAACAATAGGAAAAACTTCAGAACATATCAATCGCTGTACTATTTTAACCCATTACTTCATATACACGCCTTTTAACGCCTTTTTCACCCCCCCCCCCTTTTTGTTGTCTCAAATGATGAAAAAACGCCTTATTAAGGCCCCAAACACTTGTTTTTGTTTGAGAAATGTTGTTAAAAAAAGTGACCTCTTTTTCGGCGCGGCCCCCAAACCAAAAGATACCAAGAAAATTTTGGACCTTGTGAGAGGCTGTAAATGACCCCAGATTGATCATAAGGTAACGTGTAACCAACGCTGAAAAGCATTTGACTCTATCTCAATCCATTGAAAAGTTGCAGCACTTTGAAATCAATTTTGATGGAAAAAATCAACGCAAAATAGTGATTTTTGGCAATTTTGAGATGTCCCCTCGTTGCCATGGTAACAGAAAATTTAAGCCTGAGCATGTTGTTTCAAGGGCAATGGTCCAGTCAACATTTGTGCCAAGTTTGATTAGTGTTGAAGCAGTTTTTATAGTATTATAGCAATTTGAACTTGTAACGGGAGACTTTTCAATGAAAACAGCCATTTTTCACAAAATGCTCATGAAGCAATGGGTTAACTGCTGTGTTGCATAGAAAACAAATGTATCTCGGATTAAATGAAGTAATAGAGCTGCCCCATTCGTAAAAATAGACTGTACTGGACTAAAATGATAAAGGGCCTGAAAACTGCTATATGGGCCTGAATTAAACTGCTAGAAACCAGTAAATTATTACTTTATTTCTAAAGCTGTCATAGGCAATTTCATTTTTCTTCTTTAAACTTTAACATTGGCTAAGTGGTCTCATAAAGTCATTTGTATCATAGTTTGGAGACGTTTCTGTTGAAAATGTGTCAGGGTTAAATCGTATGCATATACATGCACAGTGCGTTAACTGGAGTGCGGGTATTAGTTACCCGCACTCCAGAGCATGCCCATTGATTGGCTCATTTTTGCTGGGGTTTACATATTGTGACGGCAGAGAAAGGGAATGCGACAGAAATGTCATATTCAGATGTTCGTTCATTGGTTCATTTTTGCCGGGGTTTCATATTGTGACAACAGGGAACGTGATTTTATGTTTGACTATGATACAAAAGAGAAAGAACACCAAAACACTCGGCAATCTGATTAATACTCGGAGGCTACGCCCCCTCGTACAAATCAGATAGCCTCGTGTTTCGGTGCTCTTTCTATTACTTAGACAGCATATCAAAATTTACAGTGACAATATACTTTTACTGTGCATACTTTGTAACCATTAACACATCTTCATTTTTATAAAAAGAAGGCCCACTATGCCTAGGAAATGCTATCTTTTCTTTTTTTGTCAAAAAAACTCTCTATCTATGGTAACCTGTAAATGTTCAGTTTTAAAAAAAATAATATATATATAAAATACTCATTTACAATATAGATGAACTACCTCTGTTGGTATAATTGTAGTGAATAAGTATTTTGTATGGAAATCAAAATAATGCTTTGCTTACATTTTGCTACCTTTATGACACATTTCTACACATTCAGAGCTACTTTCTTCAGCAACAAAGCTCTAAATCAATTATTAAAACATTATTAAACATTATGAAACTCATGTTTGAATTTCTGAAGAATTAAATAAATTAACTGCTGTGCATCTCAATTTGTTCATATAGCAACATGTTGATCTGGTTTCCTTCTGCTTAATGTTTTATTCTAATGGATTACAATAATTTATTTCTATTGCTATGTTAAAATATTTCACAAACTTTAAATGGCAGACAAACGGCAACAGCTGTACCTGCTTTATTAGTGTAAACTTACTAGCAAATAGGGTATACATGTATAAAGTGTATATATAAATTATAAAACCCAATAGGCTTCAATGTTGCTAATTCAGAATTTCTTTTGCTTGTAAAATCATCTCAATTTTAGAAACAAACATTCACTTTTTTGACATTTCAATGATTTATAAAAACTGGGCATTATCGGGTGTAACAATCACATTTTTCAAACTCTTTAAAACTTTTGTTAAAATGACTTTTACAGTTTTTTTGATAAGCCTTTTTTGTTATCTTTTTTCAAATATAACAAATAAAAGCTTGACACATATATCTATTTATGCCATTTGTAGCTTACAAGGATTGTTTAGTTATTCAGGGATAGCGCGAACGCAGTCCCCACACAAATAAATTGCGTACCCGAGTAACCCACATTTGGGGCTATCGCAGACGTCAGCCCAACCGAAGTGCAATGGAGGGGCCTCTTTCTGGGGAAACCGCCTTGCTGATCACGGTGTTCCCTGTACCAGGTAAGTATGAGTTGTACACATTTTCTGCAGGTTTTATTCCGTTGTAGAAATGTGTCATAATAAGTTTAAAATCATCATTCAGTACGCACATATTTATTTCATTAACATTAATTAAAACTGGAATATTTTTTCTAATTTAATAAAAAATGCATAAAGGTTCCTTCATCTTTCTTTAACAAAACTTTATAAATCATATTGTAACTAACAAATTATAGCACAGTGTGGATTTTACTATAAAAAACAGAGCATTTAAACGGTGAAGGAAGCCATTTTTAACCTTCATAACAGTAAAATGCTAAAAATAAACATCAAACAAAGGATGTGTAACTCTGGTTAAACTGTACGTAATAGTACAGTTATCTCTCTTATCATACATGTATACTCCCTGAAGCAAAATACTTGTAAAAATAAACATAATATTGCAAGGATTGTACCGAGTATCTTACTCAAACATAAGTTGTTTACTGATGATTGTTCAAAACATAAATATTTGATAAAAAAAAAATGGAAGTGCTCTATTTAAAGTAAAGAATTAAGATATGGCCTCATTTTTACATTGCTGAGATAAAATCTTTTTAAAGTGACTGTATAAAATATAAAATGGTTGACATATACATGTAAACATAGAAATGATTAGTATAAGATAATGACCATACTTTTGTATTTACATATTTCTATAATACATGTCATGATGTCACATGATATGTATTAAATAATTACTTTATTTTCACATTTCTGTGATACATAAGACATGACAAGTATTAAATAACAACCATATTTTCACATTTTTATGATACATGTGACATGATCATTATTATATAGTTACCTTATTTTCACTTTTCTGTGACACATGTGACATGAAGAGTATTATACAACCTAATTTTCATATTTATGTGATACATATGACATGATGAGAATTAAATACTAACTTTATTTTCACATTTCTGTGATACATGTGACATGAAGAGTATTAAATAACGAGCTTATTTTCACATTTCTTTGATACATGTAACCTGATGAGTATTAAATAATAACCTTATTTTCACATCAGTGATACATGTAACATGATGAGTTTAAATAACTACCTCATTTTCACATTTCTGTGATACAAATAACATGAGTATTCAATAATAACCTTATTTTCACATTTCTGTGATACATGTGACATGATGAGTATTAAATAATAACCTTATTTTCGCCTTTTTCTGTGATACATGTGACATGATGAGTATTAAATAACAACTTTATTTTCACATTTCTGTGATACACATTGCATGATGAGTATTAAATAACAACCTTATTTTCACATTTCTGTGATACATGTGACATGACAAGTATTAAATAATAACCTTATTTTCACATTTCTGTGATACATGTGACACGACAAGTATTATATAATAACCTTATTTTCACATTTCTGTGATACATGTGACATTGGCAGCAGTATATCCATCATATAGTCACTATGTTCCTTCTTCAACACCTCCGCACAATCACTACAGATGTATAGAGGTGGAGGTTTGTCACGTGACTGGATTGCTAATGATGGATTCAAACACATCTGCAAATAATAACACATTAACAATTATACATACATATACATTGTACTATGATGTACATATCTTTTCACTGCATATCTGATACAAATAAAATAAAACTAGAAATGTGTAATATACTGTTTTGACAGTTTTGTATTTATGTATTAGGAATTCATTTACAAGTTATAGAAAGAGCATCAAAACACAAGGCTATCTGATTTGTTCAAAGGGGATGCAGCCCTGAGTATAAATCAGATTGCTGAGTGTTTTGATGTTCTTTCTCTTTTGTATCATAGGCAAAAATAAAAACATGTTCCCTGTTGTTACATTATGAAACCCCAGAAAAAAGTAACCAATGAACGAGCATCTGAATATATTTCTATCGCTATCCCTTTCTCAGCCGTCACAAACCCCAGAAAAAATGAGCCAATCAATGGGCATGCTCTGGAGTGTGGGTAACTAATACCTGCACTCCAGTTAACACACTGTGCATGTATATGTATACCATTTAACTCTGACACATTTTCCAAACTAAATTTCAATACTGACATGGTGTGTTCTACCAATCTTATGACACACAACAATTAAATTATATAAATCAAATAATTAGCTGAAAAAGTGATAAAATAAAAAGTGTCAATCTACCACATTACCCAGACAATTTGAAAAATGGCAACACCCGTAACTCATAACAATGTACAACTCGTAACTACAACACAAGAAAACATTACTTGATCTATACTTATTTCTAGTTGTTTATTGTTCTTGCATTTGTTGACATTTGACTTGTATATTTATCACCTCATTATTTGTAAACAAAGTGGTCAAAGAAAGACACTCAGACTTGTAATAGTAATTACCTGGAAAAACATACTTAATAAAAAGTAAATGTGCACATGTAACAATTATTACAGGAGTACAGTAATAAATTTTACCTTGACAGCTTGACATTTGCCTGAATTGACACAGTCTTCACGTTGACACAGCACTGGGGGCCAAGCTGAAATAAAACCACAATATTATTTCTGATTTCACATCACTGCTTTTAACTTATTAAGAGATTTTAAATTGTGCTTTTATTGTCTACAATATAAATAAGTACAATTTTTAATTATGATGTATACAAAATATTAAGCTTTATGTAAAAACATTTTACTTGTTTTTTGTGAGAAAATATTGATCATGAATATTTAATATTTAAATTGTAATTTCGAACCTTTACACCATTCATTTTAAAGCACTCTTATAACAACACATTGTTCATTTATAATTTTCTTCGACTTTACAGCTTATTTCAGATATGCACAACCTTACAAAAGAAGACTGCTTAGCAGACTTATTCATTTTTTTCACATCAGAAAAATTGCAAAGGGCATCTGTGGCCCAGTGGTTAAGGTCATTGATTTCATACCACTTGCCCCTAACAGTTGTGGGTTTGAATCCCTACTGGGACTTTGAATTCATTCATGTTGGGAAGCTATCCAGCTAGCTTACGAAAGGGTTTCTGAGGTCTACATCCACCAGTAAACATGTTTTCTAAGGTAAAATGTGCAATATCCTTACATATATTGTAGTACAATGAGATGAATATGTACATTCTGTTGTTACACAAAATACATGTATTACGTCAATTAGCCAGATAACATCAATTTATCATTGTCAGCATAGTAATTGATACTGTACAATGTATACAATATATACATGTATATATTACTTATACTTCAAATGCTGAAATTAACACTAGCATGGAAATATATTTTATTTCTGGTGCATCATTTTTTATATAGAGCATTATTGGTCAGTTCAAATAAATTCTAAGATTATTTATTGAATTATATTAGAACCATTACATTTAACCACAACTTTTTTCAATTGTTTCTGCAGCTGTTAATATCAGTTAGGGTTTTAAACATAACTAAAACAGTGAAGAAACATAGAAATGATTTGACTTACCACTGTATTTATAATGAATACCACGCCTATCTGATAGAGAAGGGTTCAGCTGCGGCCAGTAATAGAAGAGAAGGTTTGCGGCTGGTGCCCGGGCTGATGGTGGTCCATATGCAATAATGCTTAGTACGTCTTTGATGATATCTTTCTTTAGACTCATAAAACACTCCAAAATTTGGGAATGGTATGCTATAATATAAATTCAATTTCAACATATCATTTCTCTTTTATTTAAATATTTAGTTGGATTTTAATGTTTAGTTGACTCTTTATCATTGTTTGTAAATGTCATTGTTATTTTTACAAAAAGCTTTATACAAGCATAGTTACATTCCGATCAACATTTACTTTGTTTTAACATAATTACAATACACAGTGATATATTGGCTTCCCATGCTATGAAAATGAAGGCACCAAGGGCAATCTTCAAATACTGGTCTGTAACTAAGCAACTAAGTGGATGGCAAGCCCAATGAATGGCTTGTTGGAATGAAGTCACCTTTATAAAGATTCATTTTCTCTGTACCCAGTCATTTACCATATATATTACACACAAGATTTTAAATAAAGTGTATAACATTCACATGCTGAATTTCTTCAATGGACTTGCCCAGTTTCCATATTTGAGACTGTAATTATTTTGGGAATATCAAGATGAAAATCTAAAATTATTCAGCAACCAGTCTAAAACCTGCACAGCATAGATGAGTAGTCTGGCCTGGCTTTATATTGGTGGTAAAGCGTAATCAATTTCAGTTTCATCAAGATATGAGATAAAAAAAACTCACATCCATTATCTGTATGTTGAAACACCATAGTAATTATAGCAGCAGCCGATTCACTGGCATACGTCGGCTCCGAACAACCTTCAAAACCTACAAATAAAACACAGCTATTATAGAATATGCACAGGCCACTCAATTACTTTTGGATATTTCATTAACAATCCATTCTGGCAAATATTACAGTTTAAACTATTAGAAAGGTAATAGCTATCATGACAGGTATATATAAATAGTAAAAGACAGGCCAGCATTCACATAAGTGTAGTCTTACCTGGCTTTAATTATAACATTTATCTGCTAAATTTCATCATTTTTAAATAGAAATTCCTCAAACTCACTGAGGATACATCTGTATCACAACAGGTGTTCAGTACATTGATTTGTCACTAGGCAAAAAAAAGATACATATATATTTTTAGTACTACTTTTCTTTTTTTTTTTTTGGTGTAGTGACCAAACAACGGGCCGAACAACTGTGTTCAAAATTACGATCATTCATTTATATAATGTACACATTATGAAGGTAAAGAATCAATTATAATGAAACCCAATAACATGCACCTAGTCACTTTTTTTTCAATTATGATTTCAAAACAACGATAACCCAGTTTGCATCAACACACCACAGTTACATGATGTGAAAAAAAGAAAAGAATGTCTCAAGTTATCAATTAAGGGCATACTTCTACTGGCATGTTAAACACATCATATCAACATTTTACATGTCTTTCAGCGGATTACCAATGAAATAAATGAAAATGTTACTCTGCTAACAATAGAGTGGATGATAATAAGTCAGTCTGAGTCTTAAAGCTGCATGCCTTCAGATAACTTAAGCCAAAATAAATCAATCCTGAGAAATATGTACTGTGTACATTTAGCAAATGTAAAAAAATTCAAAATTTAAGAAATCATTTACATGTTCTCTGCAATGAATGATAGATTTTTTCAATATTTAGAACCATATTTCTACTGTGTTACTAATACATTAAAGGTTATTTTGAAGATTTGGACCTCATTTAGGTATTTTTGTGGTTGTGAGTGCTGTTTGTAATGTGTAGATTGCTTCCTTTTGATTAATTTACAATATTTTACTTTTTAAGTACATTTTCAACTTTTTTCATGAAAAGTAGCATAAACTGGAGGCTTGTCCCAAAGAATGTTGTGTCTTAATATGAAGTCAATCCATTCATTAATAACAAAGTTATAGCTGTTTACAGCAAAAAAAGAAAATTTCCAATTTGAACTTCAAGGTCAAGGTCATTTATGGGTGAATGTCAAGGCCTGTCTTGTTAATTTGAAAGTCTATCCTAAAAGACTGTTGTGTTCAAGTTTGAAACAATCCATTCAAAAATAATGAAGTTATAGCCACTTAATAGCAAAACTCAAGTAAAATTTAGACATTTGACATTGAAGGTCAAGGTCATCTATGATTGAAGGTCAAGGTTAGTCTGATATACTCGAAGGTAATGTTCAGAGAGTTGTTGTTGCCAAGTATGGAGACAATACATTACAAACTTAAAAAGTTATGATCAATGTTAAAAAAAATGGCAACACCAAAAGACTGTAACCATAAAAAAAAGTTGAGCTAAAAATCTATCACAATGAATGAGAGCGTACAAAGCTCTATGAAGTATCAGTGCACTTATACTTCAGTCACATGACCAGGACCAAATTATATAAAAACACTTTGTGTGTAAAAGTATTAATAAAACTGTCAAATTAATAGCTATGAAATTACTACAATGACTTCATCCTATAGTCATATACAATGCAGTATTATAAATACTGTACAGGTAGTCGTAATTGGTAAGATGAAAAAATTTACTTTTACCATAATGGACAAACAAAGTAACATAAATAACATAAATTCATAATACAGTGTTAACTACAGTGTTAACAACAAGATTTAAGCATTGAATAGCTTTCAAATGTAAAACCTTAGATATGATACAGTCATGAAACATTTGGAAACAAACTAACAATATAAAGGTTGCATGATGACTTTTTGGCAAGACTAACCTCAGATTGACATACTATTTATACAATGTACTTACCAACATTAAACAATCAGCAATAAATATTTGTTGCTTTTTTTGTTTTTGTTTTTTGTTTTGTTGTTTATTAGGGTGGGGGAAGTCGTCAGACATGTGTTTAATTTCATGTACGTTATTAATATGGATTCAGATAATTTTAAATAATTATTGCCTGCAATCAATAGCATCACATGTGAAACTTTATATGACTAGGGTAGCAAAATGTATGGTAAACAAAGTGATATTTTGACTTTCATACAAAATACTATATCACTATAATTGAACTAATTGCCAAAATGCTTGGACAGCAAATGGTGATACAGCTTTAAAGCAAATTAGTAATACTTTTGGAACTGTAACAGAAATAAAAATAAAAAAAATGTTTTTTTAAGCTTTATCAGGCTGTCCAGCACCCTTTAACAAAAAGTTAGGGCAAATTTTAGGGCAATTTATAAGAAATTTTAGGGCTTAAATTAGGAATTTTAGGGTAAGTTAAAGAAATTTTAGGGCTAAAATTTGGAATTTTATAACTAAATTATGGCCCCAAAAGACCATGATTTGGGTTCAACTTTGCATATTTGATACAAAAGTAAGTAATTCACAAATAATGCTCTAGTTCAGTTATAACAAAAGTGTCTACCAGTGTTCCATAGTCAACAGTGATTAAATAGATCTCTGGTCAACTGCCTTTATTTGCCTACTATGAATAAGAGCTGAAAAACTTAATTACATTAAAACATAACTAGAATGAAAACATTTTTAAAGTTATGAGTATCCCGGAACAACCATTATTCAATTAGTTAAGCTGTTATTTGCCAATAGTAAATGGAAGGAGAAATTATGCTTTAAATTTATTCTAGCTATAAATGCATAAAAAAAAAAATTTATCAACAATTATTCATTTTAAGATTGGTACAGTTACAAAACCCATAAGAACGATATGACCCACTCAGGTCATTCCCAGGAATATTCTAATCTAAATTCAAACAGCAGGGTATTCACCACTTAAGAATTTGTTAAAAATAAATCAGGGCTACTAAAAATTGTAGAAAACTTTCACAACAGAGTCAATCTATGCAATGATTTTTAATAGTTTTTTTTTCCAGATTTAAAAAAAAACAACATACACTTAATGTTATAACATATTTACAGTACAATGCATGTTAATGTGTACAAAAAGGGCAGCTGAAGGGGTCACTTCTTAGTACGCTAATTTGGGTGCAAAATGGTAAAAGCATCCAATTATTAAAGCCAGTTTACCTTACCCACTTTATAATATTACCAAATATGAAAACTTGTCTAGATCTGCCAGCTGGTATTACTTACAAAAGATCCATTCTACAGTTATCACTTGAAAATAACTTGATTACAAATTAAGATTTTATTAAAAAGGTCCCCTACATACAGTCTGATGAAATTTTGTGGTACATCATAACTAATTGCTTTAAATACACCCAAGACTGAGGTAAATGGTAAAACTCTGTAGCAAATAAAAAATATAACTTGCTTGGAAATTTTTTTAAACAAGTGACCATTTTGATAAAGTCAAAGTCGGATAATTTTCATTGTTCCATTTAAAACGAACAGTTTCTTATTATTTTTCTGATAACATCTGGCAATAAATCAAGTATGACATTTCTGCAGGAGTTGAAGTAAATACAACAAGTGACTTTATGCAATTTAGTCAGATATGACATCAGCGCCATTGACTGTGTAAAAATTTAGGTTGTGATTGAAAAATGGTTGTTTTTGGATATGTTATAACAAAAGAGAAAAAAATTAGGAATTTCAGTGAAAAATAGGGCAATTTAGGAATTCCCTTTGAATTTTTCATTTTTTTTAGAAATTTTAGCCAAACGGAAAAAAATTAGGATTTTTTAGGAATTTTAGGGACGCTGGACAGCCTGCTTTATTGGCCTTGAGCATAATTTTTAATTTCAAACCAAATTTGATTTTAAATGAAATCTTATGAGTTAGACAAATGAGTTCTGTGTGTAATACATCATCGGCAAGGCAGGAGTCATGCTGAATTATTTGAAATCTTCACATCCAAAGAAATTAATAAAAAAATCCAAAAAAAATCAATCAGCTGAATATAAATCCTGACATAATTTAAGAAACAATGCTTAATGGGAATTCACCATAAGAGCTATTAGATATGGGAATCAGCTTATAAAGCTTTTTTGTCTTATTCATCTGTTATCACGAGGCACGGCAAAATAAAGATTTTGTGTTCCAGCATCATTGGTTCAAATCTTCTCAGCAATTTTTCACAATAACATTATTCATTAACTCTAGGAAACTAGAGAATTTCTTGTTAAATGATGAAATTCATCTTCAACTAAGTCTTCCAAACTACACTTCAATCGCCTCCTAAATTTGTTAAATACAAAATATAAAAGGTATGATTACTTACCCAGTGTCATTGGAAGTAAGTTGCTACACAGTAAATCAATGGTATCTTTGTGTAATGTTGGAGGAAATATTGCGAGTGTTGAGGCCACTGTGTAGGGAAGGGAATCCAGTAGGTCATTTTCTAGGAATGGAACCAGACAGCCAAGAACATTTAGTACTGCTTCACCCAGCTCTGAAATACAAACAAATTGCTAAGTGTAATGTTTAGTATAATCCTTACACTTGATAAGTAAAACTCATCAAAACTAAACATAAATAATCATGTAATTCTGAATTCAATTTGCTCTAGTAATGCCACAATGTTTCTACTACAGTTTGACTTAAGATTATTGAAATTTTGTTACTCTTTTTTATTGGTCTAGTTTACAATGATGGCAACTTACAGTACTTAACTTGAAAACATTTTTATTGAATTTCATAATTTTCAACAAACTCAAATTCAGGGAAAAATTTAATTCTGTTATCATAGACTTCTAATGAAATTAAATTATTCATAATAATTATAAATAGTACTGGTTTGGGAGTATTCTTTTTAATCAGAAATCAGAAAGAATCGTAATTGTAGATCAAAAGTCTTAACTAACATTCTTGAATTTGCTTAGTGTACAAAATTGTTTTATGATCTGCGTATACAAGGAAAAATACTTATTAATAACAATGTTGAGAAAAAAAATTAATAATACAAAACATCCTAGTGATAATTTGACACAAAGTGATTAGTATTAGATGCTTGAAAATGTACATATCATTTAATCATGTTTTTGAATTTCATGTGATTCTTTTCTTTTCAATGAAACTTACTCTACAATCAAAATTACAGAAAATATTAAATTGTTACCAAAACAGACTTTTACTGTCCTTGAATTATGTGCCTTTAAGGTGGCATCACATTTTGAAAGTAAACATGCAATAGTCGTGATGTGAATAATAGTTTAAATAGTTAACAAGAGGGCCATGATGGCCCTGGGGTCGCTCACCTGAACATAGGCCCCCAGGGCCGGGCAAGTTTAAACCAAAGGGCTTTTATTTGAACAAACTTGGAAGACACCCATTAGAAGATATTTCATGATGTTAAGTTTTTACTTTACACAAATAATGAATAACAATGACTTCCCCCCCCCCCCCCCCCCTGGCATGGCCAACTTTAACCCAAGGGCTTTTTTTTTTAAAAAACTTGGTAGACATCCATTAGAACATGTTTCATGCTAAATATCTTAGCTCTAGCTGTTTGGGTTCTTTAAAAGAAGATTTTTAAGTATTTAATTACTATATGCAATATAGGGAAAATCAATGACCCCCTAGGGCGGGGCCAATTTTGATCCAAGGGCTTTTATTTGAACAAACTTGGTAAACATCCATTAGAACATGTTTCATGCTAATTATCTTAGCTCTAGCTCTTTGGGTTCTTTAATAGAAGATTTTTAACTTTTTACTCTATGTATATAGGTAAAATCAATGACCCCTGGGACGGGACCAATTTTGACCCCAGGGCTTTTATTTGAACAAATTTGGTAGACATCCATTAGAACATGTTTCATGCTAAATATCTTAGCTCTTTGGGAGCTTTAAAATAATTTTTTTAAAGTTTTTACTATATGCATATAGGGAAAATCAATGACCCCCTGGGGCGGGGCCAATTTTGACCCCAGGGCTTTCATTTGAACAATCTTGGTAGACACTGATAAGAAGATGTTTCATGCTTAATATCTTAGCTCTAGCTCTTTGGGTTCTTTAAGAGAAGATTTTTTAAAGTTTTTACCATATGCATATAGGCAAAATCAATAACCCCTTGCGGCTGGGCCAATTTTGACCCCAGGGCTTTTATTTTAACAAACTTGGAAGACATCCATTTGAACATGTTTACGCCAAATATCTAAGCTCTAGCTCTCTTTGTTTTTTAGAAGAAGATTTTTTTAAGTTTTTACTATATGCATATAGGGAAAATCAATGACCCCCTGTGGCGGGGCCAATTTTGACCCAAGGGCTTTTATTTGAACAATCTTGGTAGACACTAATTAGAAGATGTTTCATGCTTAATATCTTAGGTCTAGCTCTTTGGGTTCTTTAAAAGAAGATTTTTTTAAGTTTTTACTATATGCATATAGGGAAAATCAATGACCCCCTGGGGCGGGGCCAATTTTGACCCAAGGGCTTTTATTTGAACAAACTTGGTAGACATCCATTAGAACATGTTTCATGCCAAATATCTAAGCTCTAGCTCTTTGGGTTTTTTAGAAGAAGATTTTTTAAGTTTTTACTATATGCATATAGGGAAAATCAATGACCCCCTGGGGCGGGGCCAATTTTGACCCCAGGGCTTTTATTTGAACAATCTTGGTAGACACTCACTAGAAGATGTTTCATGCCAAATATCTAAGCTCTAGCTGTTTGGGTTTTCTAGAAGAAGATGTTTAAAGTTTTTTCTTTTGGTTGCCATGGCAACCAGAGTTCTGCATGGAATGGAATTCTTTGAACAACTTTGTTAAGGCTTCACACAAGGAACATCCCTGTGAAGTTTCATTATGATCTGCCTTATGGTTTCAGAGGAGATGTCGTTTGAAAAGTGTGAACGGACAACGTACGACGGACTAAGAGTGATCCTAATAGCTCACCCTGAGCATATGCTCAGGTGAGCTAATAAAAAAAATTAATACTGATGTCATTGCCAAATGAGGGCCATGTCATGTCATGACAAAACATGCAGCTTCACTTTTTTCTTTAAAAGCAACTAGCTTTTGCAAATTATGTATATCTGTAGTACAAAATAATAGTTTCTATAAAATGAAATAACTATATTTTTCACAAAGTTTATCAACCTCCAACTTGCAAACTTTGTAAAATAGATGGTTACTAATGATATGTTTCCAGATTGGTTTCTAATATATTATAGAATAAAGCATAATGCAAGATTGTTCCAATTTATTATTGCAACTGTACTAGACTGTGATAGACTGAATATCAGACAATCAAATTTCATGCCTATCACCATAACAACCTTTTCTTTCATTTTGTTTGGGAGTATCAAATATCCTATTGTATATGTATGTAAATATCATATCTAAACTTAAATACACTAGAAATGTGTCCATAGGACACTGATGCCCCCACAGGCCACTGTTCTGTCAATCTTATGACTCTATGTCAAATATTTTTTGGACTACATGTGCCACAAGTTGAAACTAAAAATCAACAAAGCCATTATTCTGTTAAATTTGTTCGAAGCAAAAATTCCTTCCTTTACTACCATCTACACATTAAGGTTGTTCATCCCTGGAAGTTTAAGCAAAATCTGCCATCCGGTTTAAGAGGAGTTGCGTTCACAAAATTTCTACATAGTAATTAATGAAAAAATCAACAAAGGGCCATAATTCTGTTAAATTTGGTTGCAGCAAAAATTCCTTCCTTTACTGCCATCAACACATTAAGGTTGTTCATCCCTGGAAGTTTAAGCAAAATCTGCCATCCGGTTTAAGAGGAGTTGCATTCACAAAATTTCTACATAGTATATAGTGAAAAAATCAACAAAGGGCCATAATTCTGTTAAATTTGGTCGCAGCAAAAATTCCTTCCTTTACTACCATCTACACATTAAGGTTGTTCATCCCTGTAAGTTTAAGCAAAATCTGCCATCCGGTTTAAGAGGAGTTGCGTTCACAAAATTTCTACATAGTATATAGTGAAAAAATCAACAAAGGGCCATAATTCTGTTAAATTTGGTCGCAGCAAAAATTCCTTCCTTTACTACCATCTACACATTAAGGTTGTTCATCCCTGTAAGTTTAAGCAAAATCTGCCATCCGGTTTAAGAGGAGTTGCGTTCACAAAATTTCTACATAGTAGCTAGTGAAAAAATCAACAAAGGGCCATAATTCTGTTAAATTTGGTCGCAGCAAAAATTCCTTCCTTTACTACCATCTACACATTAAGGTTGTTCATCCCTGTAAGTTTAAGCAAAATCTGCCATCCGGTTTAAGAGGAGTTGCGTTCACAAGATTTCGGGACGGACGGACTGACGGACTGACAGACTGACGGACTGACGGACGGACAAGTGCAACGCTATATGCTCCCACATTGTGGGGGCATAAAAAGTACTTACCTAACTGTCCAATTTGAATGACTGGAACTAGGTCTATCATATTTAAGGAGGCCTTGTACAGTCCAGAATAGTTATTATTTGGGAATACAGACAGACGGACACTGTCTCTTTGACCTGGGCCATAGCTCTCTGCTGGTATGTTAGGTACATCCTTCAGAATACTGCAAAATGATTCATAGGAACAAGTTATTGCAAAAATTGGAATGTTTTTTCATATCACTTTAAAAGTATGGCTATAATTCAAGATTTAGCTTACAGAGTATTGGTGGTTCTTCTCAGGTGCCCACTCGCCCCTGAATTTATGTTTGTAGGGGCCCTTACCATTTAAGCTGGAAATCACCAAAATGGTCTTTACAGTGTTGGTGTGACTTTAAAACCTGACCAAAACAAAATAAAAAATTTGTGTATAAAAACATCGAAGCACAACTCAGAATGGTCTTCATGTTCACAATATGATTGCCATGATTAACGTCAGACTGAATCTTTCCTTTAAGAAGCTTTAATACTAACTTCAAACGAGGAATGGCATAATTTCTCCTTGTAGAGGTTGTACTCAAAAGACACCTGCATTGTGAAAAAAATTGTGATCCTTGCATATTTTACCACCATTAAAGCTGGAAAAGCCTTTTTTATGACCATAAGGATTATCAATATGAAAATGAAAATAAAAAACAACATCAGCACTTACCTGAGCAGTGTTTGTGAGAAATATTTTAGGGTGTTAGCGATATCAACACCTGTAGGTTGCGGTGTCAAATTGTTAGAGACACTGTAATGATAATCCCGCAGATTTCTGATCTTTGATGTAACTGAAATAATATTTAGCTTAACTACAAATGTAAATAGTTTTTTTATATAATTAGTATTGAAGTAGATTTAAAAAGATAAGTGTGCATTGTATAAGTTTAATTTGGGTTTACTAGAGTTTGCCTTTAAAAGAAGGCATAATTACTTAAGCATTTAACAATATGTTCATTATTAAATATTTTTATTCAAGGCCTGACAGTAAAAAATGAAGAAGTTTTGGTTGAAAATTTATCACATTTTATGAAAATATAATTCATAATTATGCTTTAAGTCTTAACTAGAAATGTGTCCATAGTACACACACATAATTGCCTATCATAGGGCATATTTACTTGACAAATTTCATTTACTTGACAATTATTAAATTTTTATTATTTCAAGTTTTATATTAACCTTTAACCTGCTGGTACCAAAAGTGAATATAGCCCTAAAATGCCGTCTGAATATATGGAAAAAGAAGTCTGAGACTCTGACCAGACTCTATACTTTTGACATACCAGGTTTAAATTTATATCTTGATACCCCCAAAATTCATACCAGATTGTTCTAAAATGGAAAATGGAGAGGTCAATTTAAGAATTAAGATATATACATGTATTATAATAGTATTACAACTAATAAGTTTCACAACATATGACTAAATATGGAACATACAGACAGAACTGATGGACCATCCTGTCACCATATGCACCCAATATTTTTTTAATGGGGGGCAATTATAAGCAAGGATTTGACATGATAGGTTTTACTATCTGCATGACTATACTTACATGTTACAGCGTGTGTTGTTAATGGATGTGAAGTCATTTTGCAATGTCCCAAGTACTTTTCATTAATATTTCTCAATAGTACTGTTCACATTCTACATGTTGATCACATACATTATGTGGCACAGTGCCAATCAGTAGTTTCTGAAAGTCATAAAATATTTTTTGCTAAATCACTTGTAATATAAAAGTCAACCTCATTGCTCAGCCTATTATATAGGTTAGCTTAAGTCTTCAGTGTACCTGTTTCAATATAATTGTGACATGGCCCAATCAGATGAAAATAAAGATGTTAAGACAGGGACTTAATTTAATTTTGGAAGCCCAAATTACCTATAACTGTTAAGAGCAAAACTGTCTGTAATCATCGAGCCAGAGAACGGTTTGCCATGCCGAGAAATATTACTGAATACAGTTAAATTAGTGGCCTCTTCCATGAAGAAAACTGTTGATAAACAGCTTGTGGACTTTCTCCCTGATGCACAATTTGGTGTTCAACCATCAAAAGACAACCTCCAAAGAACAGGTTTGGCCCATGTGACAAATTTAGCTTGCGAACATCATTTTGGAGATCTGGATAGCAGCCAGCGACGTCGACCAAGTGCTTCAATGCATCATCATTCCTCAGTTCAGTTATTAAAACGCAATAGACTTCAAATGATTAGTTGGTTAAATAAAATGCCTAGGGATGAACTTGAAAATGTGATGAAAAAAGCACGTAAAGGAGGAAAACAACTGAGAGATGAACACCGAACACAAGAAAAAAGTGTTATGAGTGAAATTAATGCGGACATGGCTCAAATAAAAGAAAAAGGGAAGAAAAGAAAAATGAACAAAGTGACAGGCAAAGTAACTAAAAAACAAAAGTGCAATGAAGATGATAGTTTGGAGGAAGAGAATTTCAATGAGGAAGATCAATTTAAACGCGACTTGTCGAAAAATGACATTGTTAAAGAAAATGAGTACATTGCTGTAGCCTATCAAGATACATGGTATCCCGGAATTGTGTCTTCTGTTAATTCAAATAGAACTATGTTTGTTGTTAAGTTTATGTCCCCAGCAAGAAAAGTGGGACATTTTTGTTGGCCTGCACGTGAAGACATTCAAACTGTAGAAAAAGACTTCATTCTGAAAATAGGTTTTGTTCCAAACTGTTTAAATTCTGGCCGTATGTGGCAAATTGAAGAAACTGATGAAATAAACAAACTGTTTGTGAAATTTAAGAAGTATTATTTCTAACTGTAAAGTAGTTAGATAATAAAAAAGACACTAGACCACTGGTTATTTGAATAAGATATTTGGATCTCATTTGCAAAATGTATATGTAATTTAAATTAAATTACTTTAAATGTAATCTTATTCAGTTATTGTTATAAAATATATTTTATTAAGCACTGAATTGCTTTGATATGTATATACTTTGTTAATGATATATTGAAAATGAAAATTATTGTGATGAAATTTTGATGATGTATGATATATATGCATGCGATAAAATAAATTTTAGCATTATACCAGAAAATAAAATAAATTTTCAGATCACTGGTAACAGAATGTTGTTTATTTTGTTTTATTAAAGTCATGATAGTACATAAAATGGAAAGCAGTTGTGTGCAGCATAGGGAGATCTTGCAGTGTTCCAAATTTCATCAAGATACCTCAAAAAATAAAAAAGTTATGACATTTTTACTGTAAGTTTAACCATATTTCTTAACGCGTCGGTTCCGCCGGCGCGACACGACTATTAGGCAAATAATATGCGGAAAATTCTGAAATTTCGCCATTTTCAATGAAAATTAAAATTGCATAACTTTTTTATTTCTTCATCAATTTTAAAAAGGAAAACTGTTCTGAAAAGGTCTTTTTAAGACCTTTATAATGGTTTTAATCAACTAATCATTACTGATATTTGAAAAATTAAGCTTGGGATGCTACCTATATACTGTACATGTACATGTGGGAATATGGTGCTTACTCAGCTTAGTGCTGTATAGTGTGTATTTTTCAAGAACCATCTAAAGCTATCCCTTATATTCAATTTACATATATTGTACGAGTCCAATATCACTTAACCATATCTAACTTTGAACTCAGAGAAGTGTACATGTATGTCTTTTCATAAACCAATTAAGCAAAATAAAATATCAGTTATTATCAAAATAAGAAAACAAGAGAAGTCATTGCATACATGTAGATCTACTTTATACTGTGTAAATCAAATACTCACAAATTTGTGATCTAATATTCTATTGCACGTCCTGGCTTTCTTTTGGTTAGTATTATTTTAACTTACCAACAAATTTACTAATTCCGCCAGGCTAAAAGTAAAAGATATGTTTGCTTAATTGACCTTTTACTGCACAGCTAATACAATATAATCCTTACTGTATGCTTACTGCTTTTAAAACAAAATTAACGATGAAAAGAAAAGAATATTCATACCTGCATATATAGAAAACTCAAAAGCAACGGAACAAAACATCACAATCTGCAGGTTTTCTTAATTTATCATGAACATCTTCAGCATCTGTATCTATTACTGAACGTTCCATTTACATATTAAGGGGTAGTTTTGAATAATAAAGAAATGACCAGCTTTGCACACACACATTTGAAGATCGGTATTGGATGTCTTAAGAAACTAATTAAATGCTTTTATGAATCATAAAATGGTGTGGATTTTTGGTTTAAAGAAATATGAAAGATGTGATTATCAGACGAGCAAGTTACACCTAAATTTGCGTAATCGACTCGACCTTTATATCCAAGCGTTTACGTGTATTGATTGATCAGTGTTAAGTATGGAGGATACTGATAAAGAATTGCGAAACACGGTTCTAAACAGTGCCATGAAAAACGATCCTTGGGAACCTCTAGAAAATAAAATGCCTGATATCCCAAAGATATGTCCTGCTCCACAAGATCCTTTAAAGAATTTGATAAGTTCAGAGACTTACGTAAAGTCATTAGGTACGAAAGTTATTTTGTTTCGTACTCAATCTAGTTCGTGACAATTCATAACGGTTATTTATTGGTAATGACAAATAATGTGGCAAGAAAAATAAGATTGTGCAAACGTTATTTATAGTGTTTTTGTTCATTTTAAAACTGACATTTGCATGCTAGTAGTTTCCATACTAAAATCGTAGTTAATATTTATTTAAACAATGTAAAAATCTATATTTTAATAAGCTCATTCAACAAATACTTTACTGAAAATTTCAAATCAATATTTGGCTTGTCAATTAAATCATGGAAATTCGAGTATGTTCTTGATATGGACCAACTTCTAGTTACGAGGCCTGATATGGGGTACTGAAAGTATCCATTATTTTTTTATGAATATTATCAATATATCTATCTTCCATTAATAATGTCAAACCTCTAGTTGGGATGTATAACTATACATGTCTGTGCATTAAAAATCGCAACAATGTAAAAAAGAATTGTTTAAAAGAGGAAAAAGAATATTAATAAATGTTAAAAAACAGGGGCTGGAAAACTAGTGTGAGACATGTTCCATGCTTGCTAATTTGCTATTTATGGCTGCACAGAACTGCTCTGGGGTAGGGAGTAGGGCAACTGCAGGGAGTAGGTGTTTCCAGTGGTATACCGTCAGTGATTTTCTTACATATATAACAGACTCCGAAAAAGGGCCTCTTCCGGGAAGAGGCCTCCAAAGCTTTTATCTGAATTAAATCAACATTATTACATATCTGTCCGGACACATGGTACTGTAGTATGTACAATTTAGGTAATTTTGATACCCTCCTTGACGGGCCTTGGATATAAGTGTCAACATAATCAGAACTAAACAAACTAGTTTGTTAGTTAGGAGAAGAACCTAGCTGTACTGTGTCAAATTTACGTACCTTTAGCTTTAAAATTATGAAATTTGTATAGAAAAATGATCAAAAAGTGTCCGGTTGATGGTCCCTGACCAGTAAAGATGCTGTGAATAGCCTATAAATAAGGGATGGCTGTAGCATGATGTTTGGGAGAGTGGTGTCAAATATTCTTCTATAGGGATAGCAACCAGACCATGGTGAATCTTACAGGAAAGGGATAACCTAGCATCTATAATATGTTTGAATTCTAGTTTTCGAAGCTTAAGGGAGTGAAGCATGTCTGTGACTCCAGAGGTCTGACCATAATCTAGCTTAATCCTTAGGGCTGCTCTTCTTTGGACATTTTCAATTTGATCTAGTTGTATTTTGGTGTGGGAGACCATACTTTGGAACCATTTCCAAGCTGGGGTCTGACTAACATCTGGTAAGCAATGGACTTAATGGATTGGGATTTGGGATATGCATAGGAATTCTAAGGTTTGGTTTGCTGTCTTGGATATCCTGTCTATATTGGTATCCCACCTAAGGTTTTCTGGTATATCCAATCCAAGGTATTTAGCTGAGGTATTAACTGATTCTAATTGGACTCCGTGGAGGTATCATTGTGTTTAGATAGGATGTTTCCTTTTTTACGACACGGATAACTTGACACTTGGAGGTGTTAAATTCCATATCCCACTCCAGCTCCCATTATTCTAACCGAATTAGGTCATTTTGGAGGGTGACTGATTGGTTTGCAGTTGTCAGAGCAATGTATATTGCAGTTGTCAGAGCAATGTATATTGCAGTATAATGAAGTGAAGTATGGTTCCTATAGATAAAACCCATAATAATAATACAGTGTTGTAATATCAGTCATATCTTTCAGTTATAATCATTGAAGAGACCATTTAACTAGAGGCAAATAGATATGTCATTCAAGAAACTTACAGTGTGGACTAAACTTTGGTACTCTTCCCCGGTACCATATCCCAACAAATTCACATGCAATGAAGTGCTAATTATGCATGATCTCTTACTCATTAAAGCCCTAAATTTATTTGATATGGTAATATAGGGCAAATTTTGATACTTAAACAAGTTTCATCATATTGCCCACTTATTTATACACAGGTGGTATTATTGACAAACTCTTATTATACAGGCTTCACATGGCAGTATTTTTTGCGCATACATGCAAGGACGGAACCCCCAACATTTACAATGTCATGTTTTGACAATGCACACATAAAAGTGATTTAATATGAACACATTTTGTACTTGCTGCAAAACTGACACTAAGATTTTGAATTGTTTCGACATAAGCATGATTAAGATTTTTGTGCCCCAATCATAGGGGGAGGGGGAGGGGCATTCAGATTTACCCTTGTCCGTCCGTCCGTCCGTTCTCTTTTTGTGTCGCACGTAGCTCAAAAAGTAATTGACCTAGAGTCATGAAACCAAGGAATGTTGATCAGCATGTGAAGTAATGCACCTGGGTATTTTCTTGTGAATATATTTAGTATTTTTAGAGTTATTACCCTTGACATAGTAAAAATTTGCAATTTTCAACTTGTGTCACATGTAACTCAAAAAATATTTGACCTAGAGTCATGAAACCTTACAGGAATGTTGAATTCAAAACCTTCAATACCAAGAGGAGATGCGCATATCGTCGTTTTGTTCCGGTCAGACACTTTAACTCAGAGTTATGACCCTTGATTAGTTATGCAGTATCCATATAGAAAAATATTTGTTTCCTTGCTACTTCTCTGCTACTACTGGCTGGAATTCAATGAAACTTTATGGGATACTAAGAGAAGATATACATATAGTCGCCTTGTTCCAGTCACATACTTATAACTCAGATTTATGGCGCTTGATTAGTTATGTAGAATGCATACATCTCATTGGCATTTCCAGATTTTACTATTTAACACAAAGTTATGGCTCTGTTATTGCCCTGAATATTTATCAAGTTCAAAGAATATTACTGTTTATGCCATGATTAATATATAAATAAAGCCTTATGTCTTCAGTTGTTGTGTTAATAATAACCAGTACTCGGCTGGGGATATAAATTCAACGAATTTGCTTGTTGCCCTTGAATTAGTAAACATTTCCAATTTTCAACTTGTGTCGCACGTAACTAAAAAAGTATTTGACCTAGAGTCATGAAAACTTACAAGAATGTTGCTCAGCATGTGTAGCTGTGCACCTGGGTATTTTCATGTGGATATTTTCAGTATTTTTAGAGTTATTGCCCTTGACTTAGTAAAATTTACAATATTCTACTTGTCTATAAGTGTACTTATGCACCTTGGGTTTTTCTTGTGGATTTATTCAGTATTTGTAGTATTTGCCCTTTACTTAATAAAAGATTTTTAGTTTTCAACTTGAGCACATATGTAGCCAAAAAAAAAAATTGACCTAGAGACATAAGATTGACAAATCAGTGGAGTGTGGGGGCACCCGTGTCCTATGGACACATTTCTAGTTAACAAAAATATGCAGGAATTATTTTGGGGGGCAATTTTGGCAATTTCTCGCTTAAAAATCGCTAAAATCGGTAAAATAAGAGAAAATCTTGCACTTCACAGCAGCAATCTATATTTCTGTTGTTATACTGGTACTGCTATTTGTACGGGAACTACTCACATTAAAAGATTCTGATTTACTGTAGATTATTATTGTCTAAATTTAAATACCATCACACTTTCTTATCAAACTTGACAAATTGAAAAGTTGTATATTTGTGAAACAAATAGAAGTGAATTTAATGTATATCTACATATCTGTGTGCATTTTAATTATTTTAGAAATACATGTAACTATTAATCCATTACTCATTATTTTTTACAGAAAAAAGACTGAACAAATTAAAGGGTAAAAATGATAAAGGAAACCTAAAGACATGATACAAAGTTTACATGAAGCAAGAGATTTGCTTTCGTCACATACCATGTCAGAAAAATACAATAAAAACACTAACGATGAGGACTTTTTTCAGAGAACAGTTGAGTTCAGTGATATCATCTATACAAAGGAGATTAAATCCAGAAAGACAAGCTTTAAATACTCAAGAACTAGTCCCCCTTGTGCATGAAGATGTTTTGGCAAAAGTGTCGGAAGAACCTGATGATTCCAAAGAGGGGGAAGGAATAACAAGTGAAGGAAACAGTTGATTGATTTGAATGGAAAATCTGCTAATTATTAATCAAGAGCAATAGAAAATCTGTAATTTGTAAACATGTTTGACAGAATAGTCAGATGTTGAAGCATAAGTAGGAGATGTTAATTAAAGATATTTGTGTTGAAAAGAAAACAGTTTTAAGACTTATAAGTCTATATTTATAAAAAAAAAAGTAACAGACAGTAAAATCTTTATTGATTAAAAAAGGGAGTAAGATAAAAGAATGGTTTAAACCAAAACTTATTGCCAACAAGAGTTACTTCCTTTGCTATAATAAATTCTGTTGTTTTAGATATCAAAATTATTTTTATTGAAACTGATGAGCAGTACGAGTGAAACATGTTTGTAATTTTAGTATATATTAAAAGTATAAATGCATGTGATACTACTTTTTCATATTTTTAATATAAATTATATTACATTGTACTATTGAATCAAGGAAAATTGAATTTTAAAATTTGCCCAGCTGACTGACTGATTTATACTTTTTATGTGATTTACAGTAAGCAAAGAATGTATGTATACTTTATCTATTTATTAAAGATTTTTTTAAGAAATCTGAAGACACTGGCCTGGGCCGAAACCTACAATATTTGGAGGCAAGGGGTTTGAAAGTTTTAATGAAAACACTGTGTAAAATTGAGAGAAACAGAATGAAAATAAATGGAGTTATTTAAAAAGCACTTTGTGCCATGTGACTTGCTAGCCTATATTTGCTTAATAGAAATGGTGGTTACAAAAAGGCATATGTACTTATACTGACCAGTATAATGATTAATAAAGAACGTTTGTGAACATGTGAACATGACTTGTGATGTCAATCAAAGTCAACCTGGTTGTCAGAGAACTATTAGGAGGACAGTCTACTAATTAATTAAAGTACATCTTATACAAGCTATTAAGGCTCGCCAGTCCAAATGATTTATAAACATTTAGAGAAAGGCTTGAATAAGGGAATGTATAGTATTTAAATTTGAACTATTATATTAAGATGATGAAAATTCTAACCTTCTTACTGGTCTCTGGAATTATTTGTACATTTATTATAGAAGGTAATTATAATATTTATCTCTATGAATTTGTTTTTACATTTGTATGATTTTTATGATTTAATTTTCATATCTGAGAAGATGCTTGCATAATAATAAGTAAGAAATATTTATATAAGTCTTGTGTATCAGTAGGATTTTTCTTTGGCACATTATGACTTCGAAATGAAAACAAACAAAAAATCTGAAGGGAAAGGGCAAACAATTAGTTATATAACATTTAAATAATGACTTGAGAGCATAGTTATTATAATTATGTTTCCCTAAGAAAAGCAGTGTTGAAATGTGAAATTAATTTGTTATAAAAAATAGAAAAATGTTAACATTGAAAGCAATATATTAAATTCCATACAAAGTGCTTAAATCACTATTACTGTTCAAATTGCCAAAAGGCAACAGACGTAAAAGAAGGTTGAGATAATGATAATGAATATGTTTTTGAAAACTAAAACAGTACAACAAAAAATAAAATGCTTTTTCGAGAATTAAAAATAAAGCATATCTTGGTCAAAATAGGCTTTTAAAAACATACAATTTAAGTTCAGTTTTGGTTTTTGTAAGTTAAAATTTCTTGTTGTCACTTGTAAATATTTATTTGCATGTGAAGAAAGTTAAATTCGCAGTCTCAGCAATACAAATACCATTAGTTACGGACTTGAATTACAGGACTGTAATTTAAGTCAGTGCTTTAATGCACATGTAAAGGTTACAATCATTTTGGTTATCAATCATTTGGTTATAAATAATCTTAATACATGCTAATACATTATACATGAAATATCATTTAAGATATAAAATTAAAATATTTATCATAAAGGACTCTGAAAAATTTGTTGAGCATTTGTTAGACCTTACATAGAATTTCTATGAATGTATTCATCTAATTGATAATACTGAAAGCTTGTGTTCATAAAACTACTCATGAATACATTTGATGTACTTAAATAAAGACATGCATCATAACGCGAATATATTTTATCATCAGTTTATTCACACTGAAAGAGGTCACGGATGTGTCACAACTGTAACGAAACAGTTAGGTAGTTTTCTGTTTTGATGTTTCATATAACCTTTGTATACATCATTTTATCAATCTGTAAGTGATAAGCCTTTGTTACCAGTATAGAGCCAGGATATCATGCACATCAGCGCAGTCTGACCATGCTCTGTCCTTATTGTAACTCACTCTGTGTGTGTTTACATGACATAGGAATACTTCTATTTTCAAACGGACTGCACTTAAGTTTGGAAAATCCATTTAGCAACAGTAGACAATGCGTCCATACAAACCTCTTTTTGAAAACAAGTTCTACCACTTTGCAGGTTATAAAATGACCTAAAACATTTTACCAAACATCATACTTATAATCCCCAAAGAACTCCCTTAATTGAGGTCAATTTAATGCACAAGTGGCATATAAGCTTTTCCTCAACCAGTCGCAATATTACCTTTACTGTGTTTGTGTGATGTAAAACCAAACCCAAAAATAAAACGCTAAATGCATTTAGTCCTGACATAATTTAACTGGCGCAGATCTTTGCAACTGCAGCTTATCTATTCGTTCAGCGAGAAAGACTACGGAGCACATCGAAAATCCTCTATTCTTTGTGCTCTTTTAATGTAAACTGTCTTAGTACAATCACTTTGTTTCGGCATGACTTTAAATAACTTACGTCAAATCTACCTGGAAACTGTAAGCAAATAACTGGGGTTTGAAATGTAAGCATCAGCCCTACGATCAATGTGCGATCTTTTCAAAGAAAATTTCACACTATGACTACAACAGGATAAGCCATTTATTAATCAAATAACAAACGTACAGTGAGTTTTCACATGTAAGTGTATTTTACCACATTTCGATATCTTACATACATTCACTAAACAACATTTAAACCAATCGCGAATTTTGATAGTCAAGGTTGACCAGCGGGGCACGGGTTTATGAATAATTAAAGAATTTAGTGCTTATATAAAAGGTTTAAAACCCGTCAGTTAATATAGCAGATTTTTACTAACATAAAAGAAGTTAAGGTTTACGAGATGGTTGTCAGGTGGAGTAAAGAACTTTCTGACTGGCACAGATTCCGTCAAAGATACAGCAAAATTTGGCCGACCTTTGACTGAAACAGGCAAGACAGATGTCTAAAAAGTCAGGGAAATAATTGAAAGTGATGGCCTGTACACGATTGCTGATATTTCCAAAGGCATTGGGCGCATTTCATTTTGAAGCGTATCAAAGACAATTTGCAAGACACTGTTACTAGTAACGAAACATGAATTCACTATTTCGAACCAGTCAGAAAAAAGGGGAAAAAATGTGGCTAATCAAACATTCGGTAAAAGCTTGGTCTGATATATAAGGTAACGTCTTGTCACACCTAATATACTCTAGATCTAGCCCCATACGGGGTTTCCTTTTCCCAAAACTGATTAGGTTCTTATCTTGTCGACAAACCCCTGACTCAGTCATCAGTCAGTGCTTCAGATCTACCTACATCAGCGTACCGTCACTACCGTGACGCATTTCATGTGATGTAATGTTTATTTGAATGCTTAATTGAGATGGCGTATAATACATGTACATTACAAATTATCAGACAACCCTAGTTATTGTGAAACTTCATAATCTTTCATTTATACAGTCCAAAAAAGTGATCCGTATATATTTTATATTTCGCTGTTCATATAAAGTATATAGTAGACATTAATTAAATCTCTAGACTGTACTTAATATAAAAAATTTAATTTCAGTGAAATGTCAACTCGATCTTGAAGGTCTTGTAGAAGCTCAACAGCACCTAAATGGCGGGGGAGGGGGTTCCGGTATGGGTCGGATGATTTCCAACACCAGTTCGAAACACAATGATCAGTGGTGCTTTGACTAGCGCTTGTAAGGTTCGTAGTGGTGAAACTGCGAATCCAAGCCAGGAGATTGATGCACATGCAATAATGATGAGGTCAGCAACCTAGGAACACAAGCTGAGAGAGATGTTTACTTGGTATGATGAAAAGGTTAGCGCGGCGCACACACCGGAAGTTGTGCAGAAGTACACGAAAACAGAGGTACACAAGAATGGAACAAGAAGTCATACTGTAGATTTATTGCCCTCGACGCAGACGTTACTAGAGAGATCATTAATGTATCAACAGATGCGTTCAGCCCGTAGTCGTCTTGCGTGAACAAGAACGCCAACAAGAAAGACAAGTTTCAGTTGGAAATCGAACGGGCTTAATATGCTGCGAGAAATGCGAATGAACAGTGTTAAATAACGGCTTGTTTGGCGCTGGTTTAGGTACAACTAGTATGTTTAGTGGTTTTTGGAAACAACGATGCCTAATGTTCAATTTAATTCACTAGATGGTTTTATGGCCACAAACGACGCCTTTTCCATCATATACTGTAAACTCCGGTTCAAGCATTAGGACAACAAACTAATCTGTTTAAATAAATTGTAACAAAAGGGCTTTTCCTTATAGTACGTACAGAAACAAGGGGTGATTATTGTCTACCTTGAATGTTTATGATTATGTTATTTATGTTTTAGACTATGTTCATTTCGCTATGAAACAAAACATTTTCTAGCAATAGTTTAACAGTAATTCTATCAGACTTTTAGCATATGTACTAAATAAAGTTAAACATATCATATTGATTAGTTATTAGTTTCTATACATGTATTTTTCACAGGCACGAGTATCGGACAAGGAAAGAAATAATTTCAATTCAATT